GCCGTTGCCCGTCTCGGCACCGGCTCCCCACTGCCCCGGGGAGTCCTTAGGGCTGCACACCCTAATACATGAGCAAGGTGACCGGCCCCGCATCCCCTCGAGCGATCTGCTCGGAGAAAGCTTGCCTCCATCCAGAGCAGTTTGGATTTTGTAAACTTTTAACGTAAAACGGGGTAGTACACGCGGAGGCTCAGCCCGGTAGCTCAGCATTTGATAAATGGCAGCTCTGAGCAGTGTTTGCCAGGAGCTGGCCGGCACCGACTGCCAAGCCTGGGAAGCGTGGCGGGGCGCCAAGCCCGGGGGTACCATTTCCAGTCAAAAACAAGGAGGAGGCCCGCTTCCTTCTGGGCTTGGCAGCCGGTTCTGGAGGAGATGGAGGGGATATTGGTTAGACCTACTATGTGCACCCCGTTTACGCTTTTACTTCATTGCGCATTTTCCCTGCAACCCTGCAGGGGTGACAAAGGGACTGTTGCTGGCGCCTCTTTACAGAGAGGGAAACTGAGGCTTGGAAAGGGTCCGTGACTCGTCTGGGGTCACAAGTTCTTTGTTCCTTAGAAACAAGAATCTGCCTGGACCACAGCGCCCCCCGCCCCCCTCCAGGAATCGCCTGCTCAGGAGGTCTGGGAGGCTGGTGGACCCTGGAGCTGCACAACCAAGATCCTGCCTGCAAATGATTTCTGCAGCAGCTTCATCAGAGTCTAGGGAAAGTCCCAGATGCTGCCTCCTGGGGACCCTTCTAAAATGGCAGAGACATTCCCTCTCCATCTTATAGGGTTTGGACCCACCCAGCCCCCATCTCTTGGCTTCTCTGACCACCTGCCAAGACCCTGCTCAATATGCAGTTCAGCAGAGCGTCTCCTACTCCAGGCAGCCCTCCTGGAGCCCTCCCTAGCAGATGGCTCAACCTCCTCTGAGCTCCCAGCAAATGTACCCACAAGTGTCACCATTACGGACTAATGTGTATCAACCAGTGCCTGTACCTGTTACCAAACCTTTGTGGGTAGGAGCTGCTATGACCTCCATTTTACAGATGAGGAAACAGGTGTAGGGATGGAAGGAGCTTGCCAAGTTAGGAGCTGCCCAGCCCCGTGACTGCACACAAGCGCCTGGAGCAGCAAGCTTTTCATTTCGCAGAAGAGAGAAGCCCAGACTTAGGTGGACACCCAGCCTATCGGCTGGACCCCCAATGGAACTTGGTCTCCCGGATGCCAGCCAAGGGCACTTCCTGGGGCTGGCCCAGCTCGGCCGTGCTGAGGGCCGGGTAGCCTCGCGGGCCTAGGGGAGCAATGTATGCCCCCTCAGCCTTGGGGTGCCCCCACTCTGCAGAGGTCGCCCCATCTGGCCACCTTAACCTGCTCATCTGCCAAATGGGAGCACAAGGCCCTCTGTGCTGGGGAGACCACAAAACCAGGCTCAGGCGCCCAGGACAAGACTCTGGCTCTTAGCACCACGGCAGACAAGGAGCCAGTTGGACAGGGCCCCTCCGAGGAAGGGGTCCCGGCAGAGATGGGACCTTGTAGAGCACAAGACAGGCCCCTGGAGCCCAGCTGACAAACACAGGACCATTGGCTGCTCCGCTGCCCACCCCCCCCGCCCCGCTTGCCACCGCCCCAAATGCAGCCGCTCCTTCCTTTGGAACCGCCCGGCACCATCTGCAGGACCATGTGGGCCCATCTCTCCCTTGGCAGAGCCCCCAAGCAGTACTTGGAAGACACGCTGGGTGGCCGGCACTGGCTTTTGAGAATCTGCATCCAGAAAACATGCTCTGTCTGTCTTCCTACGTGCCACCTGCTCGAGAGGGCGGCCGGCGCCTCTCCTTCTGCATCGGTCACTTTGCCGCTGGAGCCCAAGGGAGCCGCCCCAGGAGTCGGACCAATGAAGATTTAGCCTCAAAAGGAATCCTTTTGTTTCCCTACCATTTTCTGCCCTTTTTTCTTTTCTTTCTTTCTTTTTTTTTTTTTGGCCTAAGTGGGGATTCATGTTCTGTTGGGACAGATGGCTGGGAAGTGGGTACATCCATCCTTTCCTCGCTCCCTCTTTGCGTCTTCCCGTCTGGCTGATCCTTGCTCTGTAATTGAAGGCCTTCTGCTTGGTGACATCCAGCCAGCCAGCGTCCCTGAAGTCCAGCTGCAGCTCAGCTTGGGCCTCTGAGTCAGAGAAAGCAAACTCCTGGGAACGTTGGAGAACCGGCAGCCGATCTGTGGCCTCGAGGGCTCTTGGAACTTGCTGGCCACTTCGAGCAGTGATTGGCTTGAGGGCGAGGCCAGGGTACCGAGTTTGAGATCCTGGCCGGGGCCAGGCTCACTCCATCACTCAGCCCAGGTATCAGGACAGCCCATGGCAAAGGCCGGCAACGTCCAGAGTAGTGTGTCTCAAAGGGCAAGGATCGTGGCAGGAAGTTTTGGTTTCCGATATGAACACCCGTGAGTGTGTGTGTCATGATGCCACCCGCCTTTCCCGGGCTCATGGTCAGCGAGTCTAAATGCCACTTCTGCAAAGCATTGTCACGGATGTGTCTGGGCCGTTCACAGGGTGGATCACGGTTCATGAGCCCCAGGTGAGCGCGCTCACGTGGGCACCCAGTTGCGGTGGCTTCTGAGCTGGTACAGACTCAAACTCTGTCATCGGGAATGTCTGCCACAGCCGGGTGCTTGCAGCATACTTTGCCTGGGTGGACAGAGAGGCAGGGAGGCCCCGGCGGGCCCCGAGCATGCGCTCTCACCCACCGATCATGCACCCAGGCCGAGCCCCAGCCGAGCCCCTGCCTGTGGGTGGCAGGGGGAGAGAGGGATTGAGAACGGGGTTTGGAGGTCAGCTGTTGGCATAAAAGTCCTGGCAGGAGGACAGGGAGGCATGTCCCGGGTCTGGTCAGTGGCAAATGAGAGTGACATGGAGGGTAGGATATTGGCTGCAGGTGTCCAGCCTGGCCTTCGGCTGAGGGGGTGAGGGGGTGGCTCAGACTGTCCACTCCGTGCTCACTGTCCCCTGACTTCTGGCCAGTGTCAGAGCTTCTGTCTACTGTAAGGACGAAGGGGGCAGAGAACTGGGTTGGGGTAAGGATTTGGTGAATAAGAACGTGCTCAGTGAGAGGGACCCAGCCCCAGCATCTGCTGTGGCCAGCCGTCAACACCAGCCCACCTTGGGCACTCTGCCTGTCCATCTCAGTTTCCAGGGCTTATGCCCTGCCCGTGCCCGGAAGCCCAGCAGACCCCCAGTCTACTTCATAACAGTAGTGACGGGCAAAATAACAATGGTGGTGTTAATAGGACCAGCGCTGCGCCATGTACCCCTCCCTGGGGTCCTGGGAGGCAGGTCTGGCTTATCAGTGGGTGAGGACAAATGAGGCCCAGAGGGGAGGGGTGATGTCCCCAGGCCACACGGCCACACCGTGGTCAGAACCCTGCCCTTCCTCCAGGCCCACTCCGAATTCCCTTCCAGAAGCCGGCCGTGCTGGGCATACCCACTGTCCCCATGTCTTAGATCAGTCCTGCTTCCCATCTGGGTGGGGGTCCCCTGTGTCCCTCTGCCCTGAGGGAGATGCTCCGTGGAACATCTGAATGGATGAAGGAGGCATGGGGTGTGACCCCTACGTACAGACGAGGAAGCTGAGGCTCAGAGAGGCGGAGCAATGGCCAGCCTCTAAGTGGCAGGGCCCAGGTCCTAACCATCGCCCCCCACCGGGCCCCCGACTCTCTCCCCCTCCGGCAGAAACAGGCTCCCGCTGCCCGCTGCCTTCTCGAGACTTCTCCCGGGAGCGTCTGAGCTTCTGCCAGGATTAAGCCTTTCAAAGGGCACGTGCTCAGGGTCCCAATCCGGCTGTCAATACCGCGGCCCAGCGCCTTTCAGATCTCTCCGAGCCTGATCGAAGTCCCTTCCCCAGCCAGTCCCTTCTGAGCACTTGCACCTGTCAGGGCCCAGCCAGGTCTGCAATGGCGGGGCACGAAGAAAGAAGTGTCATCCCCTTGCCACTCCCTCACGTCAGAGCTACCCAGAGGCTGTGACTGACAGGTTCCCGCGGCCGCACGCGGAGCAGACGGTCAAGCTCACGGCGGCGGCTGAAGCGCCCGGGCGGTTCCGGGAGGCTGGAATCAGGCTGCTTAGTAATGAAACCGGCGGCTCCCGGTGCCGCGGCCAAACTCCACCGCCTCGTCCGTGGGCACAGCTGGAGGCGGGCGGGGGGCGCGGGTGCTGCCTCGGCAAATAAGCAAGCAAAAGGCTTGTTACACAGAAAGAGTTGGAAGGGAGGCAGCCAGGAACAGGATTGTCAGCGGATCCTGTGAACACTCAAGGCAGCTCTGGCCTGGACCAGCGTGGTACTTATTTCAAAGCAATTTAACCGATGGGATTCCTGACTCCCAACTCAAGAATGTTATTAAAATGAGTTACAGAGGCGGCTCAGCTGCTCCTTGGTACCCGAGTCACACCCCTGCGGGCTGTTGCCTCCTGCCCCCCGCCCCCCCCCGGAGAAGTGGCCGGGGCTCTGGTTCCCCAAGCCCCCACTGATCCCCCCGCCACCGGGGCCTCTTCTGCTGGGGAGAGTGCCCGTGACTCCGGCAGAATCCCTTTGAGAGACGGAGCTCCCGAGGCTGTGTCCTCGGTTCTTCAAAACTCGAGAATGGGTTTTTGCTCAGTTTTGTTTTGACCTGTGAAAAGAAATTAGGGCCCTTGCCCACCCCTCTTATTTGACCTGTGGGGAAACTGAGGCCCAACCCGGGATGGGACCAGTCCAGGGTCCCACAGCAGGGCGGCAGAGGTGGGCCTGGAAGCACGTTTTCTCCAGCCTCGTCCACCGTGATTTCTTCCCCGGGGGCACGTATTGGGGGCTGGGGGCATTCAGTCCATCCCGCCTGGGGCCCCCATGAAGCCCTTGAGTCCTTGCTCTGCTCCAGGCCCCTGATGTCCCCGAGCGGGCGGCTGAAGGGAGTGAGTGGGGCAGGGGATGCACGGCGGGGCTGGGGGCCCTGGGGCGGTTGGCGCCAGCTCTCCATCCTTTGCAGGTGTTTCAGCGCCGGGAGGACGGCTCCGTGAACTTCTTCCGAGGCTGGGAGGCGTACCGGGACGGCTTCGGCAAGCTCACGGGGGAGCACTGGCTAGGTGAGAGCCATGACGCCTGCCTGGTGCAGGCTTCTCTGTCTCCGTCGCCCCAGCCCGAGGGAACGCGCCCTCCCCACCTGGGGGGTCACCGGGCTGCAGGGACAGGTGATCGGTGCGTTCAGCGGGAATGAGGTCAAGGGCTGGAAGCCGAGAGAAGTGCAGACAGTGTGAGTGGGTCCCTTAGAGGTGTGTGCTTTTCCACGTTGGGACGCCCTGGGACCTGGTCGCCATCCTGGATCCAGTGAGTAGGGGGCGGGGACAGGGCTCAGTTTCAGGTACAGGGAGGGTCAGAGCAGCCCCCAAACTGCCCTGCCCTCGGGGGTCAGCAAATGCCTGGGGTGGGCTTGGGGCGCCAGGGGCATAACTCCCAAAGGAGAGGCCGTGGTTCCTGAGGTCCCTGAGGTCTCATGGCTGGCACACACGCTCAGAACGCTTGTATTCACGTTGCCCTTATTTACTTACTATTTGTCTTCAGGTCCCCTCGGTGTTTTAAAATTTGAATATCTTACATAATTTCATTCTGAAGCATAACGTCCATAAAAATCACAGGTCTGAAGTCCTAGATATATTTGGGAGGTAGTTGGGACTTGAGGTGAGGTTTGGGGTTTTTTTTATATGTCTATAGGAGTCATCGTTTTAAAATGCATGATTCATGGGGTTTCAGTATATTCACAGAGTTGTGTAACCCTCGCCCCTATCTAATTCCAGGACATCTTCTCCACCCCCAAAAAGAAGCCCTGTGCCCCCATTAGCAGTCACCCCCATTTGTATTTTTAACACATATTAAAATTGGGGCACCTGGCTGGCTCAGTCAGAGGAGCGTGGGACTCTTGATCTCGGGGTCGTGAGTTCGAGCCCCAGGTTGGAGGTAGAGATTACTTAAATAAATACACTTAAATAAAATAAAATAAAACAAAACACACGGCATTAGACTGACATGCCATGTTAATGGCATCACGCACCCCACAGCACATGGGCCCCACTTTGGCTTGCCCGGGCCTGGGTATATGGGAACGGCTCATATACCCAGGGAGAGGAGGTGAGAACAAATGTGGCTGGTGGAGGGCTCGGCTCCACGTAGGGGTCAGTATGGTCCCAGGCCTGCCTGTAGGAGTTTCAGGGGAACTTCTGGGGGAAAGATGGGGTCAGTCCCAGAGGTGGGACCAGGTCTGTGCCCACTCGCCCCCTGTGCAGAGGCACCTGGGTGGTGATCAACAGTGTCATTGCCTAATGTCTGTCTCCCTGACCCTGGGACCCATGAGGGCAGGACCCTCTCTGTCCTGGCCTCCACTGTGTCCTGTTACTGGGCAGGTACTGGCTGCAGAACTTTATTACCCCAAGTCTCTATTACTGTGCACCTCCTATGTGCCCAGCCCATTTTATAGACCTCGGCCCTGACACCTCAAACCCACCCTAAGAGGGTGGGTGGCTCTGCCATTGTCCTCCCCTTTTATGGGTGAGGAAACTGAGGCCCAGAATGAGTGGTGTGTGTGTGTGTGTGTGTGTGTGTGTTTTGGGTTGGAGGAAGCCCGGGCAGGATTCACAGGCTTTAAACTACACCCTGAACTGAGTGAATGAGAGCAGGGGCAGGGGAGAGGCTGGGGGAGAGGAGCTTCTAGGTGGGAAGACCCTTCCCCCGCCCCCCACCTGGGTGGGTGTGTCAAGATAGGGAGAGGGTGGCCAGGTGGGGGCCCTGTTTCCGCATCACCACCCACCACCCCCTTGGAGCGGCGTTGGTGACTCCGCCACTCACCGCATCTTAATTGAAATCTATCAGCAGCCACGGAAGGTGCGGGAGGAAGCATTTAAGCGGGGCCTTGATTAGCTCCTGGCAGACAGGAAGCCCTGAGGAGAATGTCAACTCAGCCCTCCACTCCCCTGGCCGTTCCCTCCCCCTGCTTTTCCACGCTCCCCTGTCACCTTCTCATCCAGTGTTTTGTCTTTTCCTATTGAGTTATGGGAGCTCTTTATATATTAAGGTTATTGATTCTTTGTCAGATGCACATGTTATGTATTTACTCCCATTTATCTTTCAGCCTCTTTTTTTTTTGTAAAATTATTGCTTATTTCCTAGACATTTAAAACTTTTATGTAGCCAATTCTTGCCAGTCTTTTCCTTTATATTCTCTGGGTTTTAGGCCCTGCTTTTCCCTCCCAGGTTTACAAAGATGTCTCCTTTTTTTTTTTTTTTTTTTAATGTTTTTGAGTGTTTGTATTAGGTTCAGCTCTTTAATCCCTCTGGGATTGATGGTATGAGGTTTGGGGGTTTAAGTAGTTTTCCTCTCCATCTTGACCCACCAGCTCCCTCTTCCTCCAACTCTGATGGTGATGGGGTCCGATCTCAGCTCACCATCCAGGGGCCCAGCGAAGGGGGGGGTTGGAGAGACACAGGAAGTGCAGAGAGAGGGAGAGAGAGGGAGGGAGGTGGCCTTCATGGGAAGAAGGGTGAAGATGGTGGAGGACCCCCCGCGCCCCCACCCTGCCCCCCCTCCGGGGCACCCCGCCAGGGGCCCCTCGTGGGCACGGGGATGGCGCATCAGGAGCGGAGCACGGCTTCGCCCAGAGGAATGGCGTGCTTATGGTGGGCCCCTGGGCACCAGCGACCACTCAGTGGGGGAGGGGAAGGGAATCTGGAGTCTTCCAGCATCCCTGCTGGGCTGGTGCCCCTCTTGCCCTGTCTCTGGATCGGATTATTTGTCCTGGACAAGAACTGAGTAAGAGCAAGGAGTCCGGGCAGTTCTGCCTGGGTTCAAATCCCAGCTCTGCCCTTCCTCAGCCATGTGACCTGGGCCCATCCCTTAACCTCGCTGGGCCTCAGCCTCACCCATCACACAGCGATAATAGAGCCCCTGCCTCGTTGATCACGACAGCAGCTGCAAACACGTGGATAATGTGTGCAGTGGGCCAGGCCCTGTTCTAAGAGCTGTACAGGGATTCTTTAATTAAACTGGACTCATTCAAATTCCACTGGATTCATTAAGCCACGTGAAGTGCTCGGAACAGTGCCTGGCATTTGTGAGCGCCGTCCGGCTGGTGGGCAGTGGTCGTCGTTGTCCACCGCCTGCGCTTTACAGCGTGTGAAGCCCTCGTGGCCCCTTACCTCCGCCCTGGGAGGCCCGCGGCGCAGGTGCGCAAGCTGGGGTGAGAGCTGGGGCCCCCGGAGGGGGAGCCCAGGGAGGAGCAGAGAAAGGCAGGGGGATGAGACCCTTCTGCTCTCAAAGCCTGGTCCCGGGCGGGTCTTGGGAGAGTAGGACGGGGCTGGGGGAGCTGCGGGGAGAGGCTGGGCGGGGTCCGCACGGGCACTGCTGTTACTCGGCTCATAGTGGCTTCTCCTTGGCGCTGCACCTGGACTGTGGGCCCGGGCTTCCCTCTGGCCTGGGTGGGGAAGGGGCCGCACGGTCTTCTCGCCCCCTTAGCTTGTACTACACCCTGACCCTCCTGCGGGGGGTCTGGAGCTCAGGAGGGAGAGGCTGATGAGATGTCACTCGATAACTTGTAATTTTAATTAAACGGCCCCCTTAATTAAGAGGTAATCAAACTGGCAGGGAAGAACCTTGAGTGTGAGTGTGTGAGAGAGGGAGGGAGGGAGGGCGAGGGATGATGGGGCATGGGGGCCAGACCCCAGAGACAGCAGGAGACTCAGAGCCCACCTTCCACTGCTCAGCCACCGTGCCTGCATTTATTGAGCTCCTACTGTGTACTGGGCTGCGCTCAGATGCTGGGATTTAGTTGTGAGGTTCCACACCGGGGGGAGGCAGATAAGGAAATAGGCAGCGGGGACACAGAATGAGAAACACCGAGGCGGGGAGCCCCGGGGTGGGCAGAGGTCCTCAGCCAGGACAGGAGGCCAGGCAGCCTTCCTGAGGTGAGACCTGAACATGAACAGAACCTAACCTGGAGGAGTCGGGAAAAGTATCCCAGGCAGAGGGAACAGCAAGTGCGAAGACTCAGAGACCAGGTTCAGGGAAGTGTGTACAAGTACCAGATCCCTTCCGGCTGGAGCCCAGAGTGGGAGTGAGGATGAGGGATGCTGTCATCCCCCCAACCCAGATTTTCCAGGTTCCTTCTGACTCCTGCAGTCTTTCCACTAACCTTCCGCTCAAACATTTGGAAAGCATAACCTGACTTAGAGCGAACAGAGAAAACCAAACACAAGAAACCGTCAGTCCTGTTTCCTGCCAAATGCAGGCTGGCAGGAGGAGGGATGTGGCCCAGGGCTGACCGACAAACCTTGCTGTCGCCAACCACGTGAGCTTGGCTCTCGGGTCTCCTCGGTTCCCTCTTGTGGGGATCACCTCGTAAGCGCCCCCCCCCAGCTTCGGCCATTCTCTCCTCCACTCCAGGGCTCAGGAGGATCCACGCCCTGACCACGCAGGCCACCTATGAGCTCCACGTGGACCTGGAGGACTTTGACAACAGCACAGCCTATGCCCGCTATGGGAGCTTCGGCGTGGGCTTGTTCTCCGTGGACCCCGAGGAAGACGGGTACCCGCTCACCGTGGCCGACTACTCGGGCACGGCAGGTAGGACCCCGGGCCGCCGTAGGGAAAAGGAAGGGCGAGGTGGGGGTGGCCACCCACCAGTCTCCCCACCTAGGAGGACGGAGGAACTCCAGGTCTGGGACTTCTGGCCTCCACCTTCAAGTCCCACCTGGTCCTCATCCCGGCAGCATGGAAACAGCGGGACCCGAACTGTTCACCCATTCTGCAGATGAGCAAAGTGAGCCCCGAGCCAGGAATCAGGACAGCGGGGGTTTGGGTTCCGCTGGACCTCTAAAGTGTGGTGGCCGCAGCCCTCTGGGCTGAGGGACAGAGACCACCAGGACCCAGGGACAGCCCTGGGACCCCTGAGGTGGCCCCATGGGGGCATGCGAGCTGTGCAGACACCGTGGGTGTGTCGGGGCAGATGTGCGAGTATCGTGTGTGTATATGGGGGCCGCTGTATCCGTGTGCGCGCACGCGTGTCCGGGGGAGTCCCCATGGCACACAACTGTGTGTGCGCACACCTGTGCAGGGGACTCCCTCCTGAAGCACAGCGGGATGAGGTTCACCACCAAGGACCGCGACAGCGACCACTCGGAGAACAACTGCGCCGCCTTCTACCGCGGCGCCTGGTGGTACCGCAACTGCCACACGTCCAACCTCAACGGGCAGTACCTGCGCGGTGCGCACGCGTCCTACGCCGACGGCATCGAATGGTCCTCCTGGACGGGCTGGCAGTACTCGCTCAAGTTCTCGGAGATGAAGATCCGGCCGGTCCGTGAGGACCGCTAGATGGGTGCGCTGTCCGCCCACCACCCCCCGCCCCATCACCTCCCCCATCCCCGGCCCGACCCCACCCTGCATCTCCTCTGACCTGCTCTCGCATTGGGGTGGGCTGCACATCATCTTTGTGCTGTCCCCAACCCCCAGTTTACCTCTGCTGATGTGGGGCAGGGCACACTGGACTACCCTCAAATTCTACCTGCCCAGACTTTGGCTCCTGGGCTAAGTGTCTTGACTTTCCTTGGCCAGCACCCCGGCAGCCCCTCTACTTTGCCAGTCCAAACACCTGGTGCTTGGGGGGGCACAGAGTAGGGGCAGGCGCACCCCTGCAGCCCTTTTAGCAGACAGAGGGACTGTTTGGATCTTTCTGAGTCAGGTCTGAGGCCAGCCTCCTCTGGCCCTCCTGGCCTCCCTCTTTCACTTCCGTGGTGCCTGGGGACCGTGGGGAGTGGTGGTGCAGACGGCTGCCTGTGGCCGGGGCTGGACGGCCATATCCCCCATTCCCACAGGCCAGGCTGGGGCGCAGCCGTCTGTGGGGACTCCTAGCCCACCCAGGGTGGCCAGGGCCAGTTCCCTGGAGCTCTCTCTGACCCCCATCCACCCATGTTCCTGCAGGCCTGGGAGGTCGTCAGTCCCTTTGGCTGCCGTGCCCAGCCTCCTGCCTTCCTGGGGCAGCTGGAACCCCACCATACACTGTCCTCTTGATGTGGGAGGCTGGGGCAGGTCCTGCTCCCTCTGGGCCTGGCCAGTGAGGACCCTTGTATTTTCTGGGCTGCCATGGGGCTTGAACCACCATCCCCACATTCCCCAATTCCCAGGGACTCCAGGGCCTTAGGGCCTCCTGGCATCAGGCCTGCAGGGTGGAGGCTGGACCAGGAGGGGTCCCGGGGCTATTCCCTGGTCAGCTCAGACTGCTGTCTCAGTGGGGAGGCCGCCCCCTGCTGGTGAATGTGGGTGCTGCCACCTCGGGTCAGGGGGAAAGGAGGGGCTCACTGGGCAAATGGGGGGACTGAGGCGCCACCAGACACTGGAAACAATCTCTCATCGAATCCTCCCAGTGCCCGACGTCCTATCATTCTACCCCCCAACAAGGACTGCAGGTTCCCGAGGTCAGCAGCCAAGAAGAGAGGCCCTAACCCCTCTGGTGAATAGTGCTGGGACCCCAATGCCCTTGCCGTCAGAACCAAGCACGGGGCTGTTTTCCTAAGTTCCTACCTGTGGGGATGTGATGGGGGTCTTTGAGAGGTTCTGGGAGGCCGGCTTCCCAGGGGTGGGCCGCACCAGTGGCCCCACTCAGGCAGGAGGGAGGGAGCGGGTGTTTCCTTGTAGGACGCCGGAAGGCAGGTGAACACAGGCAAATAGGGGAGCGTGGGCTTCAGCTCTCCCTTCCCCTCCCACCAGACTTTGTGCTGCAGTAATGGTGAGTCAGAGTCGGCTGGGGGTTAGCAGGAGGGCTCCGAGTGTGGCCGACTGTCTGTGCAAGCTGGCCCGTCCCCTGTAGCTCCACCTGGTCATCACATTCAGCCGGATTTCGCTGGACATCTGCCGTGGGCCAAGGCCTGCCCGGGTGCCGGACAGCACCGAGTCCCTGCCCTGTCGGCACCGGACCTGAAGCAGACACGGCCAAGAGACAGGCAGCACAGCCCAGTGTGACCTGTGCTGGGGGGCAGCCCAGCTTCAGGGGGGGCTGCGGCGGTGTTGGGGAGCTGTGGGGGGGCTCCTTATGACTTGAAGGGAAGGCTCCCCTGCCAGCCCCCTTCTCCGTCTTCTAGAAGAGGAACCAACCCACCCGAGCTACTGGGGCCCCCAGCCCCAGCACAGAGGCTGGGTGGGACCCCAAGTCCTCATCCCAGGGAGCCCCCTTCTCCCCCGCCAGCCCCAGGCTAGAGCTGGCTTCTGCTGCCAGCCTTGCTGTGCCAGCCGCTATTTGGAAAGTGTCAGGCTTTTTCTGATCTGTCATCAAACAAACTCCTGGTGAGTGTGATGTAAACGGATTCACAGATGTGCTTGTGCGCCAGGAAGCTCAGGGGCGCTCCTGCCAGGGCTTGGCTGCAGAACAGACGTGCCACGGCCTGGGGGGGGGCGGGCAGACGGCCGAGGGCGGCTTTTGGGAGTGTCCAGCTGACCTGGAGACACCCGTTCTTTCCTAGCCGAAAGCACCAGCCCCACGCCCGGCCCAGGACTGGCACCATCATGGGACATGGGCCGGATCCAATGCTGGCTGAAGGGGCATGGAGCTGTCTGGTGGGGACAGCCAAGGCCAGCACACCCCACTTCCTAAAGGGCACAGATAGCCCTGCACACCTGCTCTGAGCCAGGGGTCTGTGGTGAGCAAGGCAGGCTCTGGCCCCGGCCTCCAGGAGCCTCCACCGTGATGTCCATGCGAACGGCCGTCACATGAGCGGGAGTGACCACAGGAGGAAGGTGCTAGGAGAGCAGGAGGCAGCTGCACCAAGATCCGATGGATGACGGATGTGTGCAAACTGTCACCCAGGACCCAGGCTCACTGCATCCAAACTCTGTCTTGAGGGGCCCGAGTTGATGGTTTGGCGGTGGGGGCCCGTGGTCCCACTAATCACATGTGAACTGACCGACCCCCCGCCATCCCTTTCCTTCTTCTTTTGATGAGGAGAGCGAGCCAAGCACGTGGGGACCTCGGGGCAGTGCATGTGGCCCCACAAGCTTCTGAAGGTGCCTTTCCACCAGCACAGGTAGGTTCTGCGGAACCAGCCAGTGGCCTCACTCGTTCCGTGGCCCCCAAACAGGACACAGTCTCTGAGTTAAACCAGAGGCCACCCTGGGCCGCCTGAGCGCGCTGCGTCCAGAGGATGGATGGTTCCTGGGCTTCCACCCTGATGGCCTCAGCACGGGCTTCCGGGAGATAAGGACAGCGCTGTGAGCAGTTCCCAAATTGCATTTTCCCCCAGCAGCCGCATGTAAATTGGTTCGATAAATGTTTGTCTTGGGGCAGAAGCAATGTCGTAGGCCTGCCTCTTCCCTGTCCCCCTGCTCCCACCGGCGGCCGTCCTCCTTCACACAGGCCTCTGACCGGCCTGGCTGGGGCCAGGGCCCTGTCACCCAGGATTCGGTGGATTAGTCAACAGGAATTGCCAGGCTTCCGTGACACCAGAAGAGGAGGCGAGGAGGGATGCTGTGGACACAGACAGTGGCGGGGTGGGGGTGGGGCGGCGGTTGGGGACCGGGCGGCGGGGGGCCTGAGCTAGGCCTGTGGTCAGCTGCACATCTCTGTCCTGTGCAGCTGGGGGAGCAACGTGCCTGCAGATGTGCTCAACCTCGAACAGAGGACACGAGGCTTTGGTCCCAGTGGCCGGGCCTCCCCAGGGCCTCAGTGTCTTCACCTGCTTGCAGGGAGAGAGCTGTCCCCAAACCCCAAGTGGGCCAAGCGGTTGGTGGGACTCCGCAAACCCAGATGGCTGAGGTTGGCCATGGTGGGACTGCATGGAGACGGAGCGGGTGGGGGTCAGCCTCGGGCTGTGCAGACAGGTGAGCCTGACCGTCCACACGAGGCTGGCTGGGGGTGCGCAGAGTTGCTGGAGGGCCAGCACGGTTCAGGACAGAAGCTGGTCTGGGCTGAGTACACTTGGCGTCATGTGTGTTCCTGTCTCTAATAAAATCTCGCGGTGACCCAGCTGGGGCCTCCGCCTCTAAACCTCCCTTGGTGCCCCACATCAGACCACGGGGCGTTCCAAGACTGCCTCCTGCACAATTTTCCCAGACTTCCTCGCCATTCCCGTCTTTATTTCTATTGAGGAAACAATGTTTCCTGGATAACTCAGTGCCCCCCAGAGGCTGCACCAGATCCTTTAGCGGAAGCAGTTGCACACCTGGCCGGCAGCTGGGCCGCCGCGGCCGGTGGAGGTGAGGCCTGGCCCTGCCACAAGCTGCACCCAATGGGGGAGATCCTCCTGGGGCTGGGCTTCGGGGGATGAACCTGTGCACCTCCCCTCCCCCCTGCCTCCCCAGGGCTCCAGGGTGACCAGCTGGCCCTGTGGGTCTCTCTTGGGGCTGGGGCTGGAGTCCTGAGGAGCTGAGACTTTATTAAAAACAAGTCCCTGATGGCTATTCATGAAGCCAGAGTGAAGCTTGACCCCACACCTGCCCTCCCCACTCTCCACAGCTGTCCCTGAGAAATTTCACAGAGCACAGCTCGGGAACCAGAACCTCCCATTTGACACCCAAGGGAACTGAGGCACAGAGAAGGCATGAGAGTGGCCACTGCAGGCTGCACCCCATCATTAACCAGCACCCAATGTCACCACCGACCAGCACTAGCAAGGGAGATAAAACAACCCTGCCCCTCCCGTCTCTCACGCACACACACCAGCCCCCCTCGGGGACGGAAGCCGGCTCTGCACCTGCTCTGGTCTGCACCTGGGCACACCCTCTCCCCGCACCTGCCCATGGAGAGGCCCAAAGTCAATCCACACTGGCTTTTCTTGACCCTGTTCTCTCCAGACAAGACCAAGGGGAACCAAGGCTTCCTGCTGCAGACGGGGCTGGAGAGGGTGCAGCCATGGGCTCTGACCCTCAGAGCCTCAGTCTTCCCCCTGCCCCTGCAGGGGGGATGTCTTCTAGCCCCTTTCTCAGGTCTACGGGGGAGAGGAAGGGCCCATGAGGCCATCTCTATTCCTGTGTGAATTGAGGGGGGGGTGACTCTCCATACCCCTAACACTGCACAGGCTAAAGTGAAATAGCTGGGTGAGGGCCCCCGAAACCGGGGGAATGCCTCTGTGCTTCGTCCCCAGCCTCACCTGAGCAGCTCCCCCAGACAACAGGGCGGCTGCAGCCTCACCCAGCACCTGCTCCCCTCACTGCCCTGCTTGCTCTCAGTGGAGGGAAAATCTAGGCCAAGCGAGGAGTAGAGGCTGGGGGCCTGGCTGGGCTGGTCTCCCCACAAGTGCTCCTCAGATACAGTGCGGGGTCCCCAGGCACGGGCAGCGGGATGGGAGAACAGGAGAGACAGGGGCAGGGGGCCCCTGGGGCTGCAGGCTCTGGACCGGCCAGAGCGCCGGTACCTAGATAGATGCTTCCCCCCCGTGATGGGCACCTGCCTCCCACCTTGGCCCGAGCGGGGAGAATACTCTGCAGTGCACTTGGCCCGACCAGGCACCTCATCTTGGCTCAGCTGTGAGGATCCTCGCACCTGGAGCAGACCCCAGGGTCGCTCCATGATCACAGGGCAGGCCGAGTGAGTAACCGTGCGGTGAACACCCTGAGATGTGCCTGGACCAGAGGGGGCCGTGCAGAAACACGTGGGCCCACAGCGCTGCCCCTCCAACCCCATGTGCAGGTGGCAACATGTGACGCTCCCCACGCCGGGTGTGAGCTCCCCTGGGGAGAAATCCCCTGGGGGTGAGGGGCTGGGGAGCGATGAATGCTGGCAGCCTCCACCGTGGGCACCAGCTATGGGCAAAGAGCTGGAGCCATGACCGGGACAGCCCTCCCCCTGCCCTTGCCAAATCCCACACCAGGCCAGCAGCCTCCTCTCCGTGGCCCATCACCACGGCCGAAGGCGGCATGAGCCTCTCAGCTGAGGTTCAGAAAGCGAAGCATTGTCTGGCCACCCAGTGGAGAGTCAGTTTGGAAAACATCTGCGGGTGTGTCCTTCCTTTCCCAAATGGGTGTCAGGCGCCCAGGCCGGCGCTAGGGTTGCGGTGGTAGGAAACACCAGGCTTCCCTTCTAAGGAGGGCATAGGCTGTGCTGCAGGGGACGTGGGCTTGAGGGGGGCTCAGCCAGGCCAGGGGCTCCAAACCCCTTCCACGTCCCCTCCTGCTGCCCCGCTCAGCCCCTCGCGAGGCTCCCGAGCTGGCGACCCACGGCGGCGCCTCACACAAGTTTGCACCTGACGGGAGTGAGGGAGTGAGGGGCAATGGCTTCACAACGGGTGTCTCACTTCCTGAGCCCCCCGGGGTGGCTGTGCTGGTGCGGCATGGGTGGGTGAGGTGCGGACATCGCCCCCCTTCTCCAAAGGGAGGCAGACCACTGGGATTAAGGGTGGGTGTGCCATCCACACCTCTTCCAAGGGACTTGAGGGTCTGACCCTGCGATTTATAGCTAATGATGCTGCCTGCTCTCCTCCAAATGAGGCGGGCCTCTGGGCAAAGGGCAGCCCCCTCTGCTCCGCTCATCAGACCACATCCTGTTTATGCTGGGTCTTTATCAACGCAGTCAGCACTGCCCCGTCCTTCACCACCGGAGTCCCCAATGGAATCCCAGGGTCAGGAATGTGCAGCAATCAGAGGGCAGAATGGCAGTCCACCCAGGGGGCCGATATAAAGCAGGAGAACCCAGGATCCACACCTCCCAGACAAGACCCCAGAGGCGCCCTGCCCAGCAGCCTTCCCGGGGAGCAGGCCTGCAGCTCGGTGAGTACAGCGGCTCCGTCCCTAGCAGGAGCCCCGCTGCCCGAGGCCTTCTCCCAGGTCAGGAGCTGCATGGTCCCCAGAGGTGGCGACCAGCAGCTCCTCTTGCAGCCCAGATTGGCCGCAGCTGGCCTCGAGGGCTCAGCCCTGGTCTCCACCGTATGCTTCCCCTGCCACGCCCTGAATGCTGGGGCCTAATTTTTGGTGGTGAGTGTCTCAAGCTTCCACCACATTCCTGAAGGGGTCCAGGACTCCCCAAAAGGGGACAGGAGCCACTTCCTTCTGTGCATCAGTGCACCCTTTCTTGAGACCCAGAGGCCTAGCCCCCAGGTGGAAAGCCCCCCCACTCTGCCCAGGTGCCGATGGATAGCCTTCTGCGACGCAGGCCAGACTTGGCTCCAGCCCCGGGCGATCAGATGATGGAAGTTAGGAGGACTGGATTTGGGTAGGGAGGAGGGCCGCTTTTATGAATTTTTTTAAAGCCTTCTGGCTGAGTTCACTTTGAAATGTCTTCAAGGGAGCCATTTTTGGGAAGAGCTCTGGGGAGCCCATGCTTCTTCTCCAGAACCAGCTCTTTCTTCTAGGCTCAGTTCTACTCAGAGGAACAGCCAGCTCCGACTCACCATGGTCATTACCAAAAGGCTTCCTTTGAGAGGGAGCATTGTTGCCGAAGCAAGGGCATTTTGGGAAGCTCTATTTCGGTTTCCAATCCACCCGGACCACCATCCGTGGGGTAGGGTAGCGACTCCGAGTCACTTAGACCTGGGCCTGTATCCCAGCCCTGTCACTTGTAACGCTGTGAGATCCTGGGCCAGTCCCCTGTTTGTGCATGCCCCCCTCCCCCCCACCCCGTAGAAGGGGGTAGGACTGCCCTGCGGGAGTGCTGTGAGGACCGTCCGGAACAGGGCCAGGGAGTACTGCCCACAGGCCTGGCATGCCAAGAAGCTGTCTGGCCGCTAGAATCCTGAATCTAAGGGCCTCCATTGCCAGCTGTGTGGCCCAGGTGCCACCTCTTAGCCTTCCTGACAGTCTTCTTGCCGGAAGACCTGGGACGAACAGGGCCTAAAAATGAAGGGTACTGGTGACGAGGACATGCAGCCGTGCACACAGACGGTGCTCTGTAGGGATCCTCGACAGCCCAGCCATGTCCACATGCTCCTCTCCAGGTGGGTGTCTGAGTTGGGCCAGGAACATCAAGTCTGTTTCTTGTTTCCGGGCACAACTCGTTTCCACGTTAAAGAGACATGAGCAGAGTGTCCCAGCGACACAGCTTCGCCAGACCCATTTATTATCAAGTTGAAAACTAAGAGAGATCGATGCTATGAATTTTCTACCCTGTGGCTCTGAGACGATATGGCCCAAGAGTCAATAATTATAATAAAAAAAGAACGAGCCCAAATTTGCACAGCACTCGGGGGCTGCCGGGGCACGGCTGTAAGCCGTCCCAGCAGCGGGGGGATGTGAATGCTAAGCTGCCAAGGCTGTCAGATGCAGGGGACTGCAGGAGAGGAGAATCAGCCTAATTGGTGCAATCAGCTCCTGAGCCTGCTAAGAAAATAAAGGCCTGATCCCCCAGCATAGTGACACTTCCTCAAGCTGCTTGCAAGTTGGGCTCAGCGGAGCCACCAGCCTTTGATGGCTGCCCAGGCCCTGGGAAGCACTGTTGACAAGTTGTTGTGCAAAGCCCACGCGTGCAGCCGGTAACTTCTTCCTCTCTTTCCTCTGGGCCAGATGACAGGCCCTCACGCCCTGTCGTGTCTCCTCCTCCTGCCGCTGGGTGCCTGCTTTCCTCTGTTGGACAGAGAAGAGCCCATGGCCACCGCCACCGTGAGAGGTGTCAGAGGTGGAATGAGCTGGGCCGACCTGCCCGGGGAACACCGCGTGCCCCTCCCACGGGGCTCCTCGCCGTGGCCGAGAGCCCCACAACCTCACGGCCTGCTTGTCATGGCCAAGGAGCTGCAGACGTCGGGCCGACAGCGCGCTGGCTTCAGGTTCCGTTTCGGGAGGCAGGATGATGGTAGCGAGGCTACCGGCTTCCTCCCCGCGGGTGGTGAGAAGGCCAGCGGCCCATTAGGGACCCTGGCCGAGGAGCTCAGCAGTTACAGCAGGAAAAAAGGTGGCTTCAGCTTCCGCTTCGGCCGGCGGTGAGGGGGCCACTGCGTCCATGGACCCTCCCTGCTACCACTCCCGCTCCTGTCTTCTCCTTGAGCCTGAAAGACCAGGAAACGAAGAAGGCATGGGGATTATCATAATGAATTCTTAGCAGTAGGATCACTTAGGCAGGTGCTTGCTTTTGATTTCCAACTTTGCCGAGACAAAGACCTGAATGGTATCAAAAAGGAGGTGGCCCAAAGCAAACTGCATCCCGGTGAAGAAGAAAGCGCTGCCCTTTCCTCTGTTGGACAGAGCGTCCCAGCCTCCTTCCCCTAGTCTGGCTCTGAGCAGTCCCCTGGCCCAGCGGCCCGCAGCCGTGGCCGCTGCTGGGCCATGAATATGGACAGGCAGGGCTGGCAATGGACAGGCAGGGCTGGCTGTGTCGGCTTCAGGCTGAAGGTAGGTGGGCTGATGATGACCGTGGGGTAATCAAAGTTTTGAGTCTCCACAGGGGCGCCTGTAGCTGACATCCGAAGTGCAACTCTGAGGGAGCACGTCCCACCGACTAGAGAGGATGGTTCTGAAAGTTTAAAAAAAAAAAAAATCTTGTTCTCCATCCCATTAACACAAGATCCCTCTGGCAAGAAAACCCTGCTGTGGTGTCAAGATGTCATTCAGAACTGGCTGCCCATTCCCTTCTGATAACTGTCCTCGGTGGTACAGTTGTTTGCCAAGCCAGGAGTCCAGTAGGAGATGAACAAGGAAGGAATACATTTTTGCTCGAGCAAGGTTGCCTTTCAAATGTTCAGAATATGAAATGTGTTGTGTGTATCCTTTGAAATAAAAGTTTAACTGCAAAACCGTAATGGAAAGCTCGCCTGACTCTTGCCTACAGGTGCTCTGTGCCCTAGGAGTTCGGTTTTCCTGAGCTGCCAGCGCCTTAACTCAGGGGAGGTGGGAATCATGTTGCCTGTACCCACACCTGTCCCAGCAGCCCCTTAATTGGCAGTTGGTAAAATACCCATGGTCAAAGGCACAGAGAAACACAAGACGGGTATTTTCCTCCTGCGTTTGGATGCTCCTTCCCTGGTTTTCTCAAAGCAAAGAGCATTCTGAAAACAACTTCTCCACCCCAGGGGAGGCCAGCGCTCAGCTTGAGTGGCTGCAGGCCCGGGGCAAGGCAGAGCATCTCTTTCAAATGCTGCTCTCCTGTGTCCTGCATTCCATCCCGTGTCAGATACGGCAGTCTGATGCTGCTTACTCCCAGGCTGGCTTCGACCGCTGAGATGAGAACCTAGATTGATGTTACTATGGCAACATCTCCCCTCCTCCTTTCGAGCTGCTGCTTGGCCCTGTTCACAACTGAATAATTTTCCATTGAGCTGTCACAATTAATTGGTGGATTTTTATTAGCCTTTTAGAACCACACTGGGTTGGGCCCAGCTTGGCACCTCAGAGCATTTCACAGTGTTTTCCATTCTATTAGTGACTTACCTTCCCCAGTAGCAGCTCTCAATCCCCGGCAGCCAGAAAGCCACTTTATTAAGGGGTGACAGATCTGAGCCACAGAAGAGCCAAGCTGACTGGGAGTGCGGAAATTGGGTGGTAGGATGGGCCAGGAAGACAGGAATCAGAACATCACCTTATGTTAAAGCGAGCGGCCTTCTCCTGGAGCTCCTCGCTGCTTCTCCCCTATGCCTGGGCACACGGCCCCATCGGGAGAGGGCCCAGACAGCGACATCGAGTCTGGGAGGTACGTCATACTCTCTTTGGCCTCCACCACTGTCTGGGGAAGGGATGAGCCAGGATGCCTCCTGCTAATGGGCAGTCTGACGGGGATAGAACACATCCTGGGGGTCTTCGTCTGCTGATAAAAGAGGCAAACACTCAACCCTCAAGCCACAGAGGGCAAACCTCAAGAAAATGAGTCCCAGAGTGTCCATAAAGGACAGCTCTGGCTCTGAGAATAGACATCATAGGGTGGCCAGGTGAAGGAAGTGTGATCCCAGCCCAGGCTCTCACCCCAGCGTGTGCCCATTTCCACTTTGTGGAGGGCAGGGGTTGGGGGGGTGGGGTGGGGGCAGCACGCTGGATCACTCCTCCCTTCGCTCATTCACATACAGAGAAGCCAGAGAATGGGCTTGTGGAAAGACCAGGTGAGACAGGACATACCAAAGGCCAAGGGCAGAGGGACACTCTGCAGCAAGGTCCCCTGGCGAGCCCCCCCTTGCCAATTTCTATTCTTAGAATAAAATAGACGCCTCCATGGTCACTAATTACAAGAACTTGGAGGTCACCAAGGCTGAGATACTCCTGCATGTGTTTATACACACTTTAGGAATATACTGGCTGGTTTTTAATTTCGTAGGAGATGAACCTCAGAGAATCAGAGATAAAGAAAGCGGCGGGGGGGAGAGCCTTCAGAGGAGTGGATATCCTGTCATTAGGCTTTCATCATTCAACAGCAATCAACAACAAAGTTATTCTTTCCAGTTGCTTGTACATTCGAGCTCAATAACCCTGAAAATCCAAACGATCAAACTGTTAAGGGCATTGCTCTGTTAAATCCACTCCCGCTGTATCCGGCTACATCTCCTCTTTAACCCTCACCCCACCCCAGTGAGGCTTGCTCGAGGTTCGGGGGCCTGTCACGCCACCCCCACGCCCTCCTTGGTGGGGAAGATCACTCTCCAGATTAGTGAAGGTGAGGCTCTTTGGAAAACACTGACTTTGCAAGCACAGATTAAGCTCCCCTGAGCAGTCCGGGTTCACTCCACCTGGCGTGGCAATGCGGTCTCCAGCCCAGGTGCCTGAGAGCTGTCTGCATCCTCTCCCTGTGTTTTTCCAAGACACAAAAAAAAGCCTTCATCTTGGGGTGCAGATCTAAAAGCATTCAGCTATTAAACTGACTGGGGAATATTTTTGCTTATATTTTCCCATGTTTGAAACATTCACAAAAATGTAAGAAAGAAAGAGGCTCATGGGGCAGCAAGCCATCAGGCACCTGCTGTAGTAAACAAGCCACCACCTTGCCCTCACTTTGTCCCTGGGCTGGAGACACTGCATGAGAGTCCACTGAAGACCCCAACTCAGAAAAGATGCTGTCACCCTCCGAGCAGGGAGCTGGGGCCTCACCCAAGAAGTTGGGAAGGCACTGGGTGAGGGCAAGCATGGACAGACACCGTGGTTGGTCCGTCTTGTCCCACCTGATGCCTTCTGTGTGGAGAACACTGAAAAATCGATTCCCCAAGACACTCAATTTGGGAATGCCTCCTGTAACATATCCTGACACTGGAGAAGCTGGGCCAGCTGTAATTCTTGACTTCTTCCACTCCATGATAGAGGTAGGAGCCGGACCCTGGAGCACAGAGCTCTGCTGGTCATGCTGGGGCCGTCTGCACTGCCAGCAAGTTAGTCCAGCATAGTAGGTGAACAGTGGCACGTGCTGTGTGACCCTGGGCAAGCTGCTTCACATCTCTGAGCCTCAGCTTCCTCGCATGTTAAATGACAGGAAAAGAACCTCCCTCATTAAAGAAACAGAGGGTTTCACGTGGTCACACCGAGCACATCTGTAGCATACAGCTTACACGTGTGAGCTGAGCTGTAATTTTAAGAAAATGCTCATTAAGGGGCACCTGGGTGGCCCAGTTGGTTAAGCGTCTGCCTTTGGCTCAGGTCATGATATCAGGGTCCTGGGATCGGGTCCCGCATCGGGCTCCCTGCTCAGTGGGGAGTCTGCTTCTCCCTCTCCCTCGCCTTGCTCAATGTCTCGCTCTCTCAAGTGAATAAATAAAATCTTAAAAAAAAAAAATCTCATTGAAATCTGACACACGTGGAGAACGTGCTCCAATTCTGAGTGTACAGTTCAATAAACTGTTCCCAAGTGACACACCCATTAGCCAGCGTGACCCAGACTAGGAAACAGAGCATTAGAAGCGCCCCCCGCAGCTCCCTCACACCCCAACCAGGCGTGAACCTCCGTCATGACTTCTAACACCAAACCACAGACCAGCTGTGCTTTCAATAGATGGAAGCTTCTGGCATCACAAATGGCTGGCCGGCTGCTTCTCCTCCACGTTACGTTTGACTTGTGTATACCGCGTTACGACTAGTTCGTCCGTCTCCACTGCAAGCACACCACCATGCACTGCTCCTTTCGGCTGTTTTCGGTCCGAGGCTGTCTGTCAGTGCTTGCTCTTTCCCATTTTGCCATTTTGGCTTGTACTTTGCTCTGACGACGACAGCAGCTGCTGGCCGGCCTGACCCCGCGGCCTGGTTCTGGACCTCGAGGGCAGGCCTCGCGAGGATCAGAACACCGGGTGTGTGCAGCTCTGTGCGTTCTCCTGGGGCTAGATCCCAGTGCGCTAAGTTCTCAAGGGGTTCTGTGGCCTAACAAAGGTTAAGAACCACTGTTCCAGAACGGCCAGACCCAAGGAAGTTTCTGAAGCTTAGGTGGCACACACAAGATTCTTACTTGAGAGAAGACCCGTGTTTCCCACGGGCACAGGTGCCACGGTGACTGGCACGTGGCACCATGCTCGAGCCGTGACAACTGTAACCTCACTGCTGGGCGTCAAGAAAATGGGTTAATGCGCTCTGCCAAAGAGGCCGCCATGAAGACTCTGGGACTGGCGCACATCTGGCACGGAGGGAGTGGCCATCGGTGGTGGCTGTCTCTGTAGTCACTCTGTGTCTTCTTTCCGACTCGAGAGCTGTCCCTTGAGGAGACGCCCCAGACCCGGGAAATCCAGTGTCCAGCTATGGTTCAACCACGGACAGAGTGCGGCCCGGGCCTCCGTTCCTGCCTCCACGGAACAGGGGAGGTCTTGTAGCTCCTGGGCATGAGCGCGCTCCATGGTCCCAGCAGCCCCCACCTCACCAGGGCCTGCGTCCTCACCTCCGCCGTGGAGCTTCCGCCGACCGTGCTCCTCACCTTGCTTTGGTGAGCAGATCTGTATCCTCTGACAAGTCTGCGGCTTAATAAGTATCATTATCAGAGAGCGCTACTTACTTCCCTGACTTCCACTTTCTGAGCTGTCAGCTGGCGTTCAATGGAGGCCCAAATAGGGAAACAGCCGCACGTGCCCCCTTTGGTCCCCTCGGTGGGGGGCTGGGAGAGGCCACAGCCCGCCGGGTGGCATTTCCATCACCCTGAGGCCAGCACCCCTGCCCCCGCCCCTCCCCCTGTACACAGAGAAGTAAGACACAGGGTGTGTGGACCACCGTGAGCGAGAGGTGCTTCGGGGGCTGGGGGGGGGGAGGGGAGCTGGGGTGGGTTCGCAGAGAAAAGCACACCTGTGGGGGGACAAACGCTTCCAGGTCAGTGGAGTCCAGGACACCTCTTCCCCGTTTCAATGATGCTGTGACAGGCTGACAGCGAGCACAGCCCTGGGGCTCATCTTCCTTTCCCACCCCAGTGAGACGCGGCCCCTCCTGTGGCAGAGCCCACTCCCAGTGCTGCTGGCAAAATCAGTGTCAAGGGCACAAGCAGGGCCTGAGGCCAGGATGCGGAGACTGCTCTCAGAAGGCCAACGATGCAGGATTCGCATTGGAATCCCGCCACGAAGCCTCCAGTCCCCCTTCAGGGAAACGGACCCCCCCCACCACATGCACCCCACAGCTCTGAACAACAGGGGAAAAGTACAGACCAGAGCAATCTGCCCGAGTTCTAATGTTGTAAACATTTATTTAAAAAATACTACGGAGAGATGTGGATTCAAAAAACACAGAGTCATATACAGAAACAAAATGTACTGGACCAAAAAAAAAAAAAAAAAAAGACACCATAGGCATTTGAGAAGGGAGACTAGTGGAAAACTATTTACATGTCATTTATAAAAGAGCAAGTCTATAAAAGAGTGTAATACCAAGATATAAATGCAAAATATAGTGGCACATCATGTGAACAAAGAGACCAGTACCTCACGGAAACGCAGTTGAGAAGCGGGGTGGGGTCTGTTTTGCTTTGTCTGCAAGGCCTCTGGTGGTGTTCGGGCACCTCCCTCAGTCCGCGTAACACAGCAGCCTGGGGGGGGCGGGGCAAAGAGGTGATGCGCCGTGAGGGCAGCGTAAACCATCTCTACCAGAGAAATAAAATACAAGTTTAGGTGAGGAGCATAAAAATGGGGCCCATGTGCGCTCACGGCACGAGAAGGCATGGAGCTGGAAGGTGGTTGCTCCTGGTTTCTCCAAGGGTTGCTCCTGGGCCTGGCATGAGGCGCAGGCACGTGCCTGCCCACTCTTCAGTAGCTGCTCTAGGTCAAGCTCAAGACGGTCCGGGCCTCTGCCACACAAGCCTGGTCCCGGGCCTTCTGGGGAGAGTAGACAAAAGGCCTGCTCTTTGAGACACATTCTGGGGCTTCATTTGTTTGTGGTCTTCTTCATCTCTGATAACCCCAACAAAAACAGGGGACTAAGTGTTGCTCATGGTGATTCAACAGGACGTTTGCCCCTTAGTGCACAGCCAACACTGGCTGGGGCTTTGGCTCCACAGTCCTTTTCCTCCCGTGTGCTGGTGGCCGATGGCAGGTCCTGCTGTACCAGAGGTGGCTGGGCTGAGGGCAGAGCCACGGAATGCTTCAAGAACTCCAGAAAACAGGACTGGCTTGTCACACAGGAAAGAGCTCTGCATGAATCTACTCCGTCTCAGAGGAGTACAAGGGAGGAGAAAGAGATCAGTCAGAAATCAAGAGCAAGTGCCTTTTCTGGGCACCTGGAAATCTGAAAGGAAGGTGACCTGGGCCTGAAGCAGACCTGCCTAGGCCCAGCCCCAGGCCACCTGGGCACCAGCTGTTCATCCAGCTAGCCATCCCTCCTGCCTCCCCTGCCCCGGTACGCTAGACTGAGACCCTGCTACCCTTAGGACTCAAGCTTTCCATCCAGGATGAGCAGTGCCTGTCACAGGACAGCAAGGACCCTGGAGAATGGATGACAAGGACGGCCCCCACACCACGGGCCTCTTCGGCTTCCCCACCTGTCCCAGGACCCGAAGGCCGGTTGGTCTCAGCACCCTGTTTTATCCCCCAAATCAAGAGCTGTCCGTCACATGAGTAAATGTGAGGGCACCAGCCCCCCGGCAGCAACAGAGGGCAGAGTGACCAGCTGGCAGCCTCTTCCAGGATGGAGTTCGGGAAACGTGTCTTCAGTGCAGGAGGCACAAGAAGAGGAGCGCACAGGCCCCCTCCCTGGGGTAAGTGGAGGGGACAATTGCTTGGCCTTGGTGAAAAGGCTCCTGTTCAGGGCACTCGTCCTTGAGGGAAGAAGAAGAGAAGGCAGAGCCAGAGGAGGGCCTCTGGAAAGAAAAGCGAAAAAGAAATGCTCGTCCGCTTTCCCACCTGGCCCACAGAGCTCAGTCCTGGAGCACTACGTGGGGAAGAGGCTGGTGGGCCAACGGAAGTCCACAGAGCGGGAACTCCACAGACAGAGCTCGGAACAGGGGCGGCTCAGGGAGCCCGGGCTGGGGAGGCCAAAGTGCGGAAGCACGGCCGGGGCAAAGCCTAGGTAGTAGAGCCGTGCTCCGCAGTGACCCTCAGCCCCGTCTGCACAGGGCCCCCGGGCCACCTCACTGGTCTCGTGGCAGCCACCGTGGCAGGCCTGCGGAAGCCCTCACGCACGGCAGCTGGCTCCGGCTGGCCTGATGCCTGGCCTCTGCTACCTCTGCACGATATCACTGATCTCTTTCACGGAGCTGAGGAGTTTGCTGAAGTCCTGAGTGGCCGCCGGGCCACTCCCTGCTGTCGCCGGGCAGATCTGAAGCTCCCGGAGATTATTCTCCAGTTTGTTGATGGCCTCGCGGAAGGCAAACTTGTTCCTCATTTGCTGGATGGAATCCACATAGCTCACGCAGAACGTGTAGAGGTTCTTGCCGGCCTCTAGCACGGCACTATGGCTGGCCATCTGCTCAGAGTTCTTGGAGATGGCCAGGCACAGAGCCTCCGTGCCATCCAGGACCACGCCCTTGGTGATGGTGCCACTGGCGATCCGCTCTGGAGGCTGGCGGGTTTTCCGAAGAGATACACGGGTCGATATGAGAGGGATGAAGGCAGTGGAGGCCGGCTGGTCCCCAGCCAGGGCAGAGGATGCTGATGGCAAGGTGGAAGGGGCGGGAGCTGGGCTGGTTGGGGTCCCCGCCGGCTTGCTGGACGACTGTGGCTTTGGCATGGACGGGAGCACAGGCTTTTTGACGCCCTCTCCCAGCGGACCGGGCTTGACGGTGTCACTGTTCACAGCATCCACAACCACGGCCGTGGCTTTGGCTTTCCCGCCAGTGCCAGCCTCCCCAGCTGCTTCCTGGCTCAGGCTCTGAGAGGGCTTCCCGGCCTTCCCACCAGAGGCTGGTGGTGGGGGCGGCGGGACAGGTTTGAGCTTGGACAGCTTCCCCTTGTCTCTCCCTGGGGACTCAGAGGAGGGCTTGTGCCTCCTCGCTCTGGGCTCCTCGGTGGGGGCCTTGCCGGTCCCTCCGGACACGCCTGGCCCTGCTCTGCTGGCGGGGGGCACCGGCTCAGCTGCAGCAGGTGTCCCCAAGGCACTGGACTTCCCGGCCTCGTCCTTGTGGGGAAGGCCAGAGGAAGGAGCCCCCGCGACCTGCCTGCGGAGGAGTTTCGGAGTCAGACTGGGAGGGCTGGAGCCGGGGCTGGACTCCCCCGCATCTCGGAAGACCTCGTCCGCTGCATCCTCGGTCTTTTTCACCAGCCTGGGTGGGGGAGTCACCGTGCCTCTGGTCACCTGGTCGGACCTGTTCTCACTTGCCCGCTTCCGAGGCAGAGCTGGCTTCTCGCTTTTGTGCCCTCCAAACGTGGACGAGTCGAACTGCCTCCCCGTGGACTGCAGGTCCCGAGGCAGGGTGACAGACCTCCACTCTGTGTCCCTGGCCCCGTGAGGCACGCAGGAGGCAGAGCAGGACCTTAGGAAGCGCTTGCCGGAGCTGCTGCCACTCTCCTCCTCACCGGCTGCCAGGCGGCTGCTGGTCAGTGTACTGGACTTTTTCCACAGGTGGGGAGACCGGAAGCCTGCACCCCCTGACTCCCGGAAGGCTCCATTGGGGACACCAGCTCCGCTGCTGGGCTTTGGGGACTTGGCTGGCTCGGCTGCGTCCGAGGGCGTGAGGGCCGGCGCCCCGTTGCTGGTTTCTCGGCCCTCTTCCTCACTGGCCGCCTTGCGCTCGGGCTGGCCGTCCATCTCCCGGAAGGAGCTGCTGCGTTTCGGGGGGGTTGGGGCTGTTTTCTTCTTCTTCTTGATCAAGGCACTGAACAAATTGGTCTTTTTGTCTTTGGGGAGAAGGCGCTCATCTTCATTTAGGCCGCCATCCTGGGGACCTCGTTCTTTCCGAGGGAGCAGTGGAGACACAGGAGGCTCGTGGTCCAAAGGATCTGAAACACAGTGGGAAGAGTTTTCACGACTCCGGACTGGAGGCTCCTTTGTGGGGGGAACCTGGGGCTGGCCCCCTGTTCTCTACAGAGGAGCAGCCAAGGGTCTGGGCCCTGGTAGGCCTGCTTGTGAGCACCGGCTCTGCCATTCCCCAGCCTTGGCCTGGGCGAGGGACGCCTCTGCGTGCATCCTCCGCTCTCGCATCTATGAAACGGAGGGGAACAAAACACACCCGTAGTGTTGTTGTGTGATCATAATGCAGTGAGTATAAAGCATTTGTCCCAGCTATCGGCACATAATTTCTCACTAACTGTTGTCACCACTGTTAATATTATTAGGAAAAGCATAGGTCTCGCTTCTGTGAAGACACCAGCACAGAAAGCCGGGCCCCCCATCCCTGCCCTGGGGCTTCCTTGACAGCACAGAGCCCCCCAATACCACTACCTAGCACACAAAAACCACGACAGGGCTGAGCAAAGGGTCAGGCCCCATGCCTCTCGGACCTGCCAATCCAGGTTCTTGGGAGGTGAGGTTTGAAGGGAAGGGGCCGCACACCACAGTGACAACGGGCTGTTACACTTGGCAAACAAGAAGGAGTGACCTGTACAAATTTTTAAATGGGCATTCTTTATATATGAATAATAACTCCTAAGAAATCTTTCTGGTGTTGCCAAGCTCCCGGCTAGGGAATGACAGACTTCTCCCTCAGAGGGCAGCTGTGAGGAGAGTGGCTTTCTGTCAGCACCCAGAGCAGCACAGAGGACGTCTACAACCGGAGCAGAGGTGCAAGGGGGCACCTGTCAGAACACCAGGAGGCACGCAGGACACCTGACTCGAAGGAAGCCGAGGGCCTCCAAAACTTTAATCCAGCGGAAGAAGTTGAAGAATGTGAAATCCTAATGAATTATGCACAGCTCTATTTCAGTGCTGAACAGCTAATTGACACTCTCGGCTCACCATGAGATTACATATCAAAATACCCCTCAGATGAATACTGACGGGCATAAATGAACATGATTGCTTATCACTGGGCTTTTAATAAGCCTCCAGTTCCCACAGTGGCCTCTCCCCATCCCTACTGCTCAACGACCTGAAATCATGACAGCTAACAGAAGGACAAAGGTCCAAGCTTCTGGATAGTCTATATGCCACGGACTCCAAAGCAGGTGAGCAAGACGATCCAGGGGGGTGTGGAAAGAAAGCATTATAATAATTTGGGTTTTGTAACGTAAACGTTTACTTCTAAGTGCACATTTTTGGTGTATTTTATGATATACGTGTCTGTGCAGTAGTACGTGTAAATTCTCAGGCTGCACATGTGACTTTTCTTTAAACTAATATGGGTACACAATAAAAAAAATTGGGGAATCCTGCTATGGCTAAACATCTCATTATTCTGGCTTTGTCCTGCCCCTTCCCACTCATCTGTGGTCCATCAGAGCATCCCCCAGGAGCCTCTACAAACCAGATTCCTGGGGTTTTGCTGGGAGAGTAGCAAGTGCTACATCAGAGCAGCCGAACTCAAAGGAGAGCAGGGCACAGGGGAGACACTAGGTCAGTGTTTGCGGGCATTACTCCTCCTTACACCTTGAGACCCCCGTGCACCATCGCACCTCCCCTGCGCGTCTAGGGAACAGTGGCCGACAGAGTCTTTTCTCAGAGACCGTGCGTGGACACCAGCTCTGCGCCACGGGTGTCTCTTGGCTCCGTCAGTTCCAGCGAGCTTTTCGTATCAGTGCTTTCACAACAAGCTGCTCTTCGTCTGGTTCAATATTTATTGTTCTATCTGCCCTGCAAGAGCAACCACAAATGCTGTGAATAATACATGAAAAGGCGAGTTTGTTCTCAGTCGGTTTCATGAGCACCTGTGCCTACTTGACCAAACTAACTGCTGAAGCCAATGCTTCCTAATGATTTCCAGAAGGAGGGGCAGGATGCTGTGCAGAGAGGAGAACCTTCCTCTTTTCAAAGCTGGATCACTAACAAGGAATCTGCCTGCCTTTCTGTGCAGGTTCCCTCGCTGCTTCCCATCTGCCTGCACTGGCCCTGAGGGTGTGGGACTCCTCTGGGTGTCTGGTGGGGCTGGGGGGACATACCGGTCTCTCCCGGGCCCTTGGAGTGGGACGTCTCAGGCACATCAGTGGGGTCTTTGTGCTCCGCAGCTTTCCTGGAGGTTCTTGTCTTGGTGGGCAGCTCTGGGGCCTGCAGCAAAGTACTTGCAACCCCTCGCACACCTTTTTTCCCCAGTTCCTTCTCCACTTCTACGAAAACAAAACCAAAAACCAGTGGCCATCAGTAATGGTGTCAGTTTGGTATGCTGGTGTTGTTTTTTTTTCTCCTTAGGTAAGAGTGGTCATCCACGCACAGTTACAGAGGAGATACAGATGCTGAGAAGACCGTACTCGGTACTTTTCAGAGTTGGGCATGGCTGTAAGACAGCTCCATGCTCAACACTTCTGACCAGTTCTCTGGTCTCAGAGAACTTTGCTGGCCTGGGCTCTTCTAGCAGGAAGTGAACTAAAGGGCCTGGCTGTCCCTTCCATCCCAACCTCTCACCCCACTGCTGCAGGCACCCCCAGGAATGGGCATTTTACCATCTGATATGCTGGATTCCTGGAACATTGTCTCAAAGGCTTGGTGGATTTCAGCAAAGGAGGGCCGGTCAGAGGGATTCCACTGCCAACCTGGATGGACGAAACCCAGTCAGACCATGCATGAGGCCCTGCTAACAAGTTGGGGGCTGGCAGTTCTCAAGGAAAGTCTGGTAATGAAAGAAGCACCCCAAGGGGCGCCTGGGTGGCTCAGTCAGTTAAGCATCTGCCTTCGACTCAGGTCATGATCTCGGGGTCTTGGGATCAAGCCCTGTGTTGGGCTCCCTGCTCAGCAGGGAGCCTGCTTCTCCCTCTCTCTCTGCCCCATTCCCCACTCGTGGTCTCTCAAATAAGTAAAATCTTAAAAAAAAAAAAAAAAAAAAAGCATCCCAATCCTGCTAACCATCTTTTGCTGTGACAAGTTAAAGTGACAAATGTCACTGTGTCCTATTACAGACATTAAGAATTCGAAAAGACTTTAGATATTGGCAGGAATATGGATTGTAAAACCCCAGAGAGAAGTGACAGCAAGAACTACATTTTTAAATCTTTTCCCCAGCCCCACTCCAGCAAGTGCAGAGAATCACTAAGTCAAATAAATGGCTTGCCTTCTATTTCACCCTTACTTCTGGGTTATCAAAGTCTGAAATCCTCATCAGTAAAGAAATGTTAACTAAAACAAGATTAACGTGAGGATTTACTTTTTTAAGTAGGCTCCATGCCCAGTGTGGAGTCCAATGAGAGACTCGAACTCACGACCCTGACATCAAGACCTGAGCTGAGATCAAGAGTTGGATGCTTAACCAAATGAGTCACTCAAGTGCCCCAAGATTAACGTGAGGATTAAGGACTGATGAAGCCCCATGCTGGCGAGAGCACAGAGTTACTCTCCTACACTTCTGGTGGGAGTATAAATTGGTACACCTTTCCTGGAAAACAATTTGGTAAAATCTATCAAAATTTAAAATGCAAGTAGCCCTTTGAACCAACGGTTCAACTTTTAGAAATCCCAGTATAATGCACAGAGGTATACGTATAAGGGTGTTCATCCTTGTTTTGTTTATAATGGCAAAAGCCAAACAAATGTGCAAAACAACCAAATGTCCACCAAAATGGGACTGAATGAATAAATCATTTAATGGACGTTAAGCAGCTATATAAAAATAAGGGGGTGGGAGAGGGAGAGATGTCTCTGAAATATGGACACAAAAGATACGCCATGTGAAAAAAAAAGTTGAGGGAATGATTTTATATATATATAAATATATATATAATAAAACCAACTAGATAAACATCACCCGGAGTATTTACCTACTACAGCAGAATATTTGGAGGTAGGGCCCAGGAATTTGTATTTATTAATAAGAAATCCAAGTTTGATACCCATCAATCCCATTTTTGCATCAAGAACAAATCAAAAAAAACCCTCACATATAAACACTATGTATAAACAATATGTATAGAAACAAGTCTGAGTCAGTATGCACCTATCTGCTACACTGGCTGATTCTGAAGAATGTGAATAAAGGAAGGGGAGGACTACTTCACTCTGGGAATACACTCCTGGACGGTAATTTCTCACAGTGCCCACAGAGAATTTTTAGAATTGGCTGAGGAAGGCTCACATGCGCGCATCAGTTCGTAGACCTTCTCTGGGCAGCCTTCCGGGCGCTCCATGCGGTAGTCCTTCTCTAGCAGCTCATACACCTGCGACAGGTCAATTCCTGGGTAAGGTGACATGCCATAGGTAGCAATTTCCCAAAGCAATACTCCAAAAGCTACAAAAAAAAAGGGGGGGAAGAGAAAGCTGGTTCAAGATGTATGAAATTTAACTATCGTGCATTTAAAATTGGTTACCTATGCAGTGGACATTAGAAGTTACACCCTCAGAAGCAAGCCAGGCACATTTTACCAGGCTTAATGACCAACAGCCCAGGACAGAATGAGACGTTAACACCCTGCCCCTTCCAAAACGTGCTAGAGGGGAGAAGAAACTGGGTTGATCGGCCCCTCCAGTGTCTCTGAGGTAATGTGACCACCTTGCTGGGATTTATGGTAGAGGGCACCTAGGGCTGGAAGTCAGGAGGCCATTCTACTCCTAGCTCTGAGATCAACTAGCTAAGTGTCTAAGACAAGCCACCTGTCTCTGGTGTACAGTATCATCTCCAAGGCCCCTTCCAACTCCAAACGTTTCATAAAAATCATATAAAATCGGGGTGCCTGGGTGGCTTAGTCGGTTAAACATACGACTCTTGATTTCAGCTCAGGTCATGATCTCAGGGTCATGAGATCGAGCCCTGTATGGGGCTCCACGCTCCGTGTGGAGTATGCTTGAGATTCTCTCCCTCTGCCCCTTCTCCACTCGCATGCATGCGCATGCTCTCGCTCTCAAAATAAATAAAATCTTGGGCGCCTGGGTGGCTCAGTTGGTTAAGCGACTGCCTTCGGCTCAGGTCATGATCCTGGAGTCCCGGGATCGAGTCCCGCATCGGGCTCCCTGCTCAGCAGGGAGTCTGCTTCTCCCTCGGACCCTCCCCCCTTCTCATGCTATCTCATTCTCTCTCTCAAATAAATAAATAAAATCTTAAAATAAAATAAAATAAAATAAAATCTTTAAATAAATATTTGAAAGTCTGAAAGCCCAGACTATAGCCTTGAAATTCCAGATCTCATTAAAGGGACCAGGACTCCTTGGAGAAATGGGTAATTCAGGTCTGGGGCAGGGAATGAACGTGGAATATCTTTATCACTCCAGACAGCACAGATGCCATTAAAGACTACAAGGGTCTTGTCAAAACCAGGAGCAATCTGAAGTTCCCATTGGCCAAACAAGAGACAATCGGAGTATCAATAAGGAAAAGAACTACAATGGATTAAAATATATTCAATGATAGTGTCACAAAAGAAAGAAAGAAACCCCAAAAATCTACTTGGTCATCACTGGAGGGTATTAAAAAACTGACTCGTTTGTGTGAACACCAGTAGACAACAGCAAGGAAGCTAACAACGATGCTGTCCTTCCCAGATGAACTGTATACCACCCCCCACCCCCCACTTAACCAAACAGTAGATGAAGGTTTCTTCTTACAGAAGTACTGAGCTAATGAGTGAATGAGGAGTGACAGAATGAGAGCAGCACCGCTGGGTGACCCCTCATAAATGAGTGGATCTAGGTACTAGGTATCAGGAGCTGCTAAAATCACACCAGAGATGTTGAGGAAAGAGCACACCACGGAGCATGACGTCGTCCTGCTGAAAGAAGTCAAACCCGAGGATGACCCAGAGGTCCAGACCCACCTGCCCACTTACTAGGAGTACCGAAGACAGAGGAACACACTAAACCACAGCACGGGGATGCAGTGTGGGAGACATGGAAGGACACGTGAGGCCGTTTCTTCAACAGACAGACAGCAAGGGCAGGGAAAAGATGGAGCGGAGCTAAGGGACCAGACGGACTGAGGGCACATCGAGCACCTGCCTGGTGTGAACAGTAGCCAGATCTCAACTCAAACAGACCGTAAAAGTAGGATTTTTAAGACTCAGTTGAAAATGTGAACACTGACTGTATCGTGATATTCAGAAATTACTGTCAATTTGGGGAAGAAGGGCAAATGTGGTTACAAGAGTAAAAAAGCCATCTTTAAGAGACTCATACTGAAATATCTGTGGACAAAGTCATCTGCTATCGGGATCTGCTTCAAACCAGTCAGGGCCGAGGGAGGGGGCGGGATGGAGGGTGCAGGAGCGCCTCGAGCTGAGGGCCGGGGAAGGTGGGTGATGCGTGCGTGGGGCTCATGCTGCAACTCCGCCTTCTTCAGTGTATGCTTACTACCTGCCACAATCAGAAGTTCTTTAACAAAAGGTAAAAATACTGGCCCATGAAGCTTCCAAGGGCAATATCCAATTTAAAGCCCAAACCAAACTACACAGCATTCCCTGCTCAGAAGACCCTGGGTGCCTGCAGGGCTGGCTAACTGTCCCTGCAAACCCAAGCAGCACGCTTCGGATGAAGGTGGTAAGTTAGAGGGGCGGGGGGAAGGTAATCTGAATTATTCTGGAAGAAAATGCTGGCTTTTACTTCATTCTGGGGAGAAAACAGGAGTAAAGATTGTAAAGTGGGGAAGAAAAAAATAAGAAAGGATTAAGCGATAAAGGAAAATAAATGAAGGACTGAGAACTGAGAAAAAGGCAGTGAAAAGGCAAAAGGAGGACGAGGAACACGGGAGAAGGAGCCCACCCCGGCAGCGAGGGCCGACCGGAGCAGCCGCAGTCCTTACCCCAGACGTCGGACTTGATGGAGAACTTGTTGTAGGCCAGGCTTTCCGGCGCCGTCCACTTGATCGGGAACTTGGCCCCGGCATGGGCTGTGTAGGTATCCCCCGTCATTAACCTGCTCAGGCCGAAATCAGCCACCTTCACCAAGTGGTTCTCCCCTACCAGGCAGTTTCGGGCAGCAAGATCTCTGGGAAAAGAAAGCGTTCACCCATGAGTTGTGGCCAGCTTTCCCGGCCTCACGAATCCACCACCAGCGAGTGAAGGCGCACTCCTGACAACTGGGTCCAGTGCCCCGGGCGGACGCGTGTGAATACCCCAGCGGGAGCAGCGCTCGTCCCTCAGCATCTGCCTGCCGAGGTGAGAGGCAGCAGAGGTGCAAGTTCATGACCCTGGGCCTCCATTACCAGCATCCCTACGATGAAGCTGACAGAGGCAGCGCCTCTTCTTAGGGCTGCGGTGAGCGGTCATCAGCTAACGTAAAGTGCTTCCACTGACGCCTGCACACGCCCCCGGTCCCCTAAGGGTCTGCCCAGTTAGGACAGCTCTACGCCAGGCACAGGGAACAAGGGCACCAGCCAGTCCTCAACTTCCATCAGAGGGAGTCTCCATTTGGCCTATCCAGACTTGATAAAGGACAAAATAAAGCCCACAGCATTTCCCCCCCCAAATTGTGTTTCTCACTCTCCTATTTCCTCCTGATGCTTATCCGAATGTATCCTACAAATTCTCTCCTGTATAATCAGCTTTTTCTCGCCTCCTGATTGTCCCAGGGAGGTGGGAGTCTAATCTCTGGTTCATGGATGTTAGCCATGAAATCCCAAGGCAAAACGGAACGGAGGAAAGAGAAGAGGCAGCACCTTCAGGCGATGGCTGCCTAAGATAGCCCGATCATCAGCAATCAGACAGAAATTAAATGCAGAAGACTTGTGCATAATAGGATTTTGGTAAAGCATTTTAAGTTCGTGAAATGAAAAGGGAATGGATCTAGCCATGCAAAGCAAACCAGAAGTCAAGAAATCTCAATTTGCAGCCTCAGAGGGTTCACCTTCTTGAGTGACAGGAGCACTGAATCAGGCTCTCATGCAGCACAGGAAATCTGTCTTACAAGAAACGGACAGCCCTTCACACATGCTGCTCTTATTCCTCACTATGAAATCTCATGTACGGGCTTCATACTTGAGTTAATTGGGTAGGAAAGTTCACAGCAGTGGCGTGGAGAACATCTTGTATAAAAGTCACCGGCAAAGCCCATCAGGCCCTGTCCTGCTTAGGCCATCACTTTGCTAGGAAGCCATTTCCACCAGCAAGGAATGTGAACACCAACATAATTGTGGCACGCTTGAAGGTCAAAACACTCCAGGCTTCAAAACAGCAAAGCCGCTTAATTTAGAACTACATATACACAGTTCTGACAATCGCGGAAACATCCCTGAACCAGAGGACAGCAAGTTAAGTGGAGAATGAAATGATAATAAAGAGAAAAGAGGGAGAAAACACGCAACACAAAAAACAAAGCCCGTGTGCCAGCTGTGACCGCGAGCCTGTGTAGAAGCCACGCCAGCCTCCCCCAGGGAGGAGGTCATTACTGATGAGCTCCCGCCTCACACTCTGCTTCCTGGAGAGCGCTGATTATCAGGAAGGAGGCCTTTGATGAACTTCACTTAGTATTCCACGTAGTCCAGAACGGTGCTGAGGGGAAATATTTCTTACCACAGGGATCCAGTGCTCAGCGGGCCCAGGGTCTAGGCCTGCTGAGTTTGGTCCTGGACACACGCCTGAAGCCGGCGAGGTCAGGAACCCAGCATCTGCCTTTGGTCCAAGGCCCACCGTATTGCCAGCACTAAAGCAACTGGCTGAGCCCTAAGACCTTGCAGGCTGGAGCTTTTTGTAAAAGGCTGCCGGCCCCAAGCTCACTCCGTGGCTCTGTGGGGCTGCTTCGCCAGGCTCCTACCTGTGGATGAAGTTCTTCTTCTCGAGGTACTCCATGGCCGACGAGATCTGAGTGGCCATGTAGAGCAGCACCACAGCGTTCACCTCCTGCCGGTTACACTCTCTCAGGTAATCCAACAGGTTCCCATAGGTCATGAACTCAGTGATTATATAGAACGGGGGCTCCCGGGTGCAGACCCCTGCCAACAAGACAGACATCGAGGGCTTTCGTGTGCCGTTCTGCTCCCGAGTGCACCAACCCCGGCCAGGAAAGACAGCACGACAGTAAAGGGCTCCTGAAACGGGCTCTGTCTCTGCTAAGTTTGGGGTCCAACCTCCACCACAGTTCCAAGCACTCAGGGCTTGTGATCACGTTCCTGGGGGAGGGATGCGGCCATGCTCTTCTCTTCCTCTCGGGCACCTGAACCCCAACGGAGAGGCTGCCACCGAGTTCAGAGGCAAAGGTCAGGCACACACCAAACAGCCTACAGCACCGTCAGTTCACCCCCAAAACGGGGAGGTCTGCTTACAGAGTAACTGCAGGGAAGGGACTCTGGAAAATTCTTGTCTCAGAAGCCATTTGAGATTTGCCTTTGACTGCTTCTACATATCGATTTAAAGTAATAATGTCCTCCCCCCACCTTACAGGGGGGCGCCTGGGTGGCTCAGTCAGTTAAGTATCTGACTCTAGGTTTTGGCTCAGGGCATGATCTCAGGATCCTGAGATTGAGCCCCTCACTGGGCTTCATGCTGGGTGTGGAATCTGCTTAAGATTCTTTCTCCCTCTCCCTCTGCACGCCCCCTCAAAAAAAGAAAGAAAGAAAAAAGAAAAAAAGTAATAACATATTCTCTCTCTCTCTCTCACACACACACACACACCGTCCCACACCAGCCTCCTTTTTACCATGGGCTGAGTGTTGGCAGAGGACAGATGTCCACATCAGAAATCTTCATGCAGCAAGCCACTCACCTCTTCCTTCACAGCACCTGCACGACCCCCAGAGGGTTTAATGAAAAGGCCCTCTCTTCAGAGCTTTGCACACTCACCGAGTAACTGTACTAGATTGGGGTGCTTGATCTCTTTCATTACTGCAGCTTCTTTCAAGAACTCCTCCACCTCCATGGTGTCCTCCTGTGGAAAAAAAGGGGGTGAAGCTGTTTCAGCAAGGACAGTGTTTAAGTGGGAAGGTACACCTTGAATGGTTAATACAAATTGGAGCTTCAACCGACAAGCACCCTGGCCCACCAGTGCCGACCCGCACACTGCACCAGATTCCCTGCAGCTGATCGTCACCCTGACAGCACAGAGAATTTTCCCCTTTGGTGCTGAACTTGTGAATTCTCACCCAGGGCGATAAAGAGATGTTGGGAACTTGCTTCTAGGGGCTGCTATGTAGAGGATATTTCTATTTCCCTAAGGAATAGCTGGTTTCCAAGGAGTCCTAAAACACTTAAAAAAAAAAAATCACCTGAAGAATCAGAAACATACTCAATTTAATGGAACAGACCCTGATGACACAAAAAGATACTATCCTACCAAAGAAGAACCACACCTCAAAATACAATAGAGAATGCTGAACTGCAGAGGATTCTGAAAATGTGGTGTCATGGGGGTCTTAATGAAGCAATCACCACTACCTACCAGGTAGATTTACTCAGGTTCTCAAATAATCCTCTGTAGCAGCCCCTCTAACAATGGATTCACGAGGTCACGTTTTAGCAAGTTCACTGTATCTAAATGCCACGAAGAGACAAAGATATTAGCAAATGCCCAGAGCAAACCTGATGCTATTTCCACACCTCCTCAGGTGCTGTGGGTCGAGGCTCAACTCTGGAGTGCTGTGCGCTCGCCCCACACATGGCAGCTGGCCCTACTACACACAGGAGCCTCTGTGGCTTGCGTCAGGTAAACCTCTTTTGACTTACAGAAGGGACTGTCCTCTGACTAATCACGGCAACAAGAAGCAGGTGGGGGGTGGTGACCTGCTCTGTCTGCTGTGAGCGTCTGGTTACAAAGGCCAGCAGGAGAAGCAGGACACCTCCCTCTAAGTTTCAGCATGGAGTCTAAGTTTGTCTGGAGAGAAAGACTGCATGGCGGATGGGGAGTGATCTGGAAAACTAGACTCGCCCGAGAGGAAAGCTTTAGAAACTTTTAAAAAATATATATTTATTTGAGAGAGAGAGCAAGAGAGAGAGAGCGCGCGCGCACACACACGTGTGCACACGCAGAGGGGGCAGATGGAGAGGAAAACCTTAGCAGACTCCCTGCTGAGTGCGGAGCCCACGTGAGGCTCGATCCCACGACCGACCATGACTTGAGCTGAAACCAAGAGCCGGACACTTAACTGGCTGCACTACCCAGGAGACCCTTTATCAACCTTATTTTCAATGTGGCACCTCATACATCATACCTGCCCTTTCGAGAGATGATGAGCTCACGTGTCCTTATTGCGGCATCACCGTGGCCGCGCCATTCCTGCCCCCGGAGGTGGGGAACGCTTCCAGAAGGCAGGTCATCCTCTCCCTAGCGTGTGCCTGCTGTGGTCAGTCATGTTTACAAGCAGAGCATGACCGCTGAGGACATGTGGCAGCCCATTACCACTTAGCCCTGGGCCCTGTGAGGTGGAGACTCAATTTACTGCTCTTTACCAATGGTCAGCTGCTCTAATGTCAATTAAACATTGCTGGTAGTCACCGCGTCGAGCTGCCACCGCCCCATTGGCTGTTCAATTCTTTGGAGTCCTCTCTGCTCCTTAACACACTCAGCAGACCGTGCCATTTGTGCGTGGAGCGCTCTGATCCGCTGGCTGACACGCTAATGTCAAGGCTGGGGAGCACACGCTTGCTGGAGTCGGCGAGTCGATGCTGCTCACGTAAGGACCAGAGGCTTCAAGAACCTTGCCTGGCCAGCAACATGTTCAAAACGCAGCTCTGAAATAAAGCTTTCTAGACAAGTGGAGTTTTCCTCTATAAAAGTGCCACATAATAAACCACCCACAGTGAAATCATTTCAGAAAGATCATGTGCTCTTATAGCTACAGAATCTTTTCTAAAAGAAACATGTCTGGATCTTGAGAGGCATGGACACACAGAAGGAACAACAGGGCTTTCAAAGGCACCCCTCTCCTCTTGTCTGTCTCGTTCTCCCCTCACTCATACACACGCACATACACGTGTGGACAGTATAAATAATTCCTTGTTTTTTTTCTTTTTAAATGGTTTTGTTGTTGTGCTTGAGAATTACACTTTTTTTTTTAAGTTTTATTTATTTATTTGAGAGAGAGAGACACAGCGAGAGAGGGAACACAAGCAGGGGGAGTGGGAGAGGGAGAAGCAGGCTTCCGGCCGAGCAGGGAGACCGACGCAGGGCCCGATCCCAGGACCCTGGGATCATGACCTGAGCCGAAGGCAGTCGCTTAACCAACTGAGCCACCCAGGCGCCCCTAAATAATTCCTTATTTTTTTTTTTCTTTCAGGACAATCAGTGTGAACTTGTCTCCCCCTGGTGGAATCAAGCCTGGTTCAATTTACAACAGAAACTACTAGCAGCATCAGACTTTTGTAGCTGCGTTAAACTGGAAACACCCCTGATGCTATCCTGTTCTATCCCTTGACTTTTATTTAAAAACTTTCCATCATCTTTTTTTGAAAGGTCTTCCATTTACGGAGTAAAATAAAACGAACTCCGATCAATGAGGGTGAAGGCAACACTGAGCGAAGGCTGAGTTTCGGCCCTGTCTGGTGGGAGGGTGGTGGGTCAGCCGGGCTCTCCTCATGGGGACTGACCAGCCTGGCTCAGATCCACACGAAGGCCTGGCCAGTATAGGAGGTGGTTCAGAGGATGGCTTCTGAGTTACACAGACCAAGCCCTGCCACTGCGTGGCCATTCCAAGTTACTCACATGCCAGATAAGTGAGGTTTCTCTGAACCCAAACGGGGAGAACAGTTGCATCTGCCTCGTGGGCAGGACTCCACCAGCGGGACCCACTTTTACTGTACTGAAAACAGGTGATCTCTATGCCTGGGAAGCAGCCTAAATACAGCGCTAGTATGAGAGACAGTTAACGATGCTTTCTGTCGTTCTCACAGAGACACGTTCTCTGGCCCCAGGCTCGCACGGGTGCTTTCTACCCAGCCTCACCCTTTCTGCTCACTGGCTTCCCCCCGAGCGTAGGCAGGCTACGGCATTAACAAAGAACAGCGTTCGTGTAAATGGCTCAGCGTCCCACTGGTGCTGCATAGCCCCGAGTGCCCTTCATGCCTCCCTGAGTCTCAGCAGGGACCATGGCCCCGGAGCGGGGTCCACAGAGAGCTCAGTTTCCACATCTGTCCCTGGTTCTCAACCAAATGTGAGCTGAGCAAGGCTGCCACCACAGTGAAGTGCCATCCCACAGCCTGCAGAGATGGGGCAGAGCTCCTGAGCCAGGCCGAGGAAGGGGGTTCACCAACCAGATGCATGAGAAACCACCTCATACGAGAACCCCCCGAGCCCTGGTCCTCAAACACGCAGGTGTATCTAGCTCACAGGCAGAGCAGAAGCCACTGCAAGAGCGAGGAACACGGCAACAGTGGGCTCCGAGGTGTGCTGCCTCTCTCCCTGGGCACAGCCCCCTCGGGGAGTCAGAAAGCTGGAGCACGCGACTGTCCAGTGCTGCCATGGAGCCCTTCCTTCGCTGCTCGTTTCTGGAGCTAATAGAACCAATTTCCTGGGGAAAAATACAGCAAAAACCAAACCCAAGCAGACCGTGTTGGCAAGGGCAGGGGCATCAAGGCACTTTGCCAGCACTGCTGGTCGAGTACAAATTGGTACACGCTCCTCGATCTAGTGTACTCTGGGGAGCTGACCACCAGGACAGTCTCCACACACCCAACAAGAATCCCTATGGCACAGTCTGTAATAACAAAGTGAGGGAAAAAACACAAATGCCCACTGAAGGCTGGTATATGTTAAAATACATCCATGCAGAAACAAGACCACCTTACGTCCACTTACGAGGAACGACTGCCAGGATACACGGGCTCCAGGGGGCAAAGAGCAGTGTCTAGAGCACACTGCCGTTCGGTTCAGAAAGATACCCACACGCGGACTATTTCTGGAAAGTCACAAAAATCAAGGGTAGAAGACACTATGTGCATACGTTACCTATTTGAAAAATAAAGAACTGAGTACAATTTTAAGCCTTAACATTTTTCAACAATGTTATTTTCCACCATTTTAATGGTAAATCTGCCAGTAGCTTACGAGTCAATCCTAATGCCACTGGATCAACAGTAGTCTTTCCCAAATTCTATGACTTACAGAACTGTTCCATGGGGGAAAAAAATGGACTTATAAACAAACTTTTGGAATATGGCTCATTTGAAACATGGGGCTTTCTTGTACTGGACAGCTGGTTCTCTTAGGCACATCCCACCTGTCACATTGATAATACACAGGTAGAGGTAAGCCTATGACTTGCTGAATTATGTCAGAACTCAAACTAGCAGTTCCCACCAGTGGGCCTTTGCTTTAATTCTAGTTTCCCACCCATAGAGGTCAGCCTAGTGCACTCCTGTTTCCCGTCTCTTATGGTCTCAGATCCCAAAGGTACAGGACCCAATGCCTGGTGGATCAATATGGAGCCCGGGTTAAAGCAGGGGGGGCCATCTGTGCTGCCTCAAGAGGGGCCAGCAACACAAAACAGGTGTGTGTGGGGGGGAGCAGATGGAGACTCAGGTGCCCAGCTGGGTCCTAGAGAGAAAGGGAGATCCAGGGGCAGGCTGAGGGGAAGTGAATGTGGGCGGGGAAGGGGATTTCTAAGACTTGCAACTGTGGTTTCTGAATTTTTCATGGTGTGTGAGGAGTAAGAACCGGGATGACAATTAAGGAAAGAAGAAAGGAGCTGGGCTTTGAGGCAGGCTGCCTGGGCCGGAACCCTGACTCTGCGGCTCCTCATTGGCTCACGCCAGGCCAGTTACCCCGCCTCCCTCCACTGCAGTTTCCTCAAGCCTGAGATGGTGGTGGTGCTGGGCTGACAGGAGGACCCTTCCCTTAGGGTGGTTGAAAGGATTAAATGAGAGGCTACAGATGGAGCACTCAGACCCTGCCGGGCACATAGCAAGAGCTCAATAAACATTAGCCATCACTGTCATTTAGAACCCAACTTCTCCAGTGGAGACAAATGCCCAAAAGAGTGACACTAATTTTATTTGACAAGTGGGAAACCTACTGTAGACATGTGCTTTGTGCAGGGGAGGTGGAAGAAGCGATAATTTATCTAGCAGTTGCTTAGTACCATATTTTGGGTTGACCTACATCTCTAGAATATGATGCATTATTCCCTTTTCCCTAATTAGCTATCAGCAGGGGTGACGACTCCCAGAAATCCATGCAACTAGATTCTGTATTTTCTTTCTTTCTTTTTTTTTTTTTTAACCAACTGTGGGACCATAAAGTTAATAAAGCTCTTGGGGAAAACCATTAAAAGAATAATAAAAATACATCATTAATAATACATCATTAGAGAAATATATTCTAAAAGGCACACAACTTCCAGATAATTCTGCTTCACTGGTGTAAGAAAGCCACCACTGACAGAGACCTCCAGGAGGGGTCCCTCCTCTGGAATGCCCATCTTCAGTTGCTCAGGAAACATTGCCACAGTATCAGCTGCTGGGCTGTGTTTTCCCCACATTTCAAGTTGGGCAAACTCTCCCTCTTTCTAAAGTTTTCAAACAAGCCTTTCCTGGATGGAAACCTAGTTTATTTTGTGCTTCTGTTCTTCCTTGTTTCATTTTTGCAAATGCTGGCAAATGTGTGGGTATTGCCTGGGCCTTTAACAGTTTCTCAAGCTGGTCAAGACCGAGAGCCGGGCCTGCTCTTCAACCCTGTGCCAAACTGAGACACTGCAGCACGAGCACATGCCTCTCCCTGGTCTTGCCTGGTCTGGGGGAGGCGGGGCAATGGCTGTTTCGTTTTTTCTAGGGCTCGCCAACGTAGCCATCTTTGTGAAGCTCCAATTCAATCATCTGTGCATCAAACCCTTCAACGCGCCCCACTACCTCCAGGATAGCGTCCCAGCTCCTTAGCCGGTTCAAACCCTCTGTGACTTAGCGCAGGCTCTCCACCCTCTGCCTCTGTCAAGGCCTCTGCTCCCCTGGCCAACTCCTGTTCCTCCTCCACGGAACCAACCTGTGGTTCCCTTCGTGCTTTCTCCCCGCCAAGTGGAGTGCACCAGTACCCCCCCATTCCCATGCAGTGTCAGAGCTCCCCGCTCCTGCCTCTCATCTGGCACCTGTCACACCACACTGTGGTTACCATCATATTGCCTATTCCTCCCCCTAGCTACAATGTTCTACTACCTAGACTAGCCTGAAGTGAAGAAGTCTATTTTCACAATCCCAGGGTTAAGGCCAGGGTCTGGTGAACAGAAGCAAGAAATTCAATAAATGCTTTATTTTTTAGGATTTTTTTATTTTTTGACAGAGAGAGACAGTGAGAGAGGGAACACAAGCAGGCGGAGTGGGAGAGGGAAAAGCAGGCTTCCCTGCTGAGCAAGGAGCCTGATGTGGGGCTCGATCCCAGGACCCTGGGACCATGCCCTGAGCCGAAGGCAGACGCTAAACGGCTGAGCCACCCAGGCGCCCCAATAAATGCTTATTGTGTTTTTAAAAAATCATGTCTGGAAAGTATCCAGAAGTCCCCAAGGTGACCTCAAACCATGTCACCTCCCACTCCCAACACACAAGATCAGCCCCAAGGACTAATCTAAGGGGGACACAATCAATAGGGGGCACAAGCAAGGAAAGCCACTCTTGGTTTCTAGAACTAAAGAACGCAATCTTTTCTCTGAAACGGCACTTTACATCAGCCAGAACCCATAATTTCCACTTTACTGTGTCTCTGAGTAAAGGCAGAAGGAAAGTAACAGAGTCCCTAAAAGGCAAGTGATCTGGCTTCAGGGGTCTCCAAGCATGCGCCCCATGGACTCCAGAGAAGCGCATGCACACACTTGGGTCCCTTCCTTGCAGTCATGGATGTTTCCATTCTATGGCTACGGGGGGCGGGGGGCCCTCCCCTCTCAGTCTCTGTGCAGGTCCGTGTAATCGGTTCCTTTTTTTTTTTTTTTTAAGCAAGTGAAAATAGCGCAGGTCAACACTAGAGGACGCTCTGGCCACAGGTAAAAGCTCAGATCACTTTTGGAAGGCTGCGAGGGCTTGCAAGTGAAACCCTTGCCTTGGCGTCCTAAAGATTTCAAAGGACTTCAAATCCACCGGAAAACTACAAACCCCACGCTTGAGTGGCGAGGGCGAAAGTCCTAGTTAACAAGAATGACGCGACAGTACCTGAGTTCGTAGGAAGCCCTGATGCTTCCTTCATGCCTTTCCACACCTCCATTTCCAGAGGTCTGCACTCACACTACACAGAATTGGAACCTACTAGGAACACCCAATGCACTTGCCTTTCAAGTCTGCCAACAAAAATCCACAGAAGAGTCAAATGCGTTTTGGTTAAATCCCCTTCTTTCAAAACTTACAGTTTTTTTTTCTCCTCTTAACTCTCAATAGGAAGTGATCCAAATGCCACACAGACTGAACGGAAACCCACGGCTTTAAAAGAATCTTGCCATATAACGAAAACACTTCTCCAAATGACTCATCTTTTTACACCAAAAAACCACAGCACTTCTCGGCTCTCGCTGTATGCAGAGGCACACGGAGTTGGGGAGAGGGACTGAACCCGTTCGAAGAAAAGGACCACAGAGGCCCAAAGAGGCACTTCCTGGGCACCAGTTACCCGCTCAGACCTGAGCGCAGGGGCAGGCCACCCAGAAAGCAGCGCCAACCCACACCGGCAATGGCACTGTGAGCAGCGGCAGCAGGCCCGGGCCTACCTTCAAGGTCTTCACGGCCACCGTCAGGCTGTATTTCTTCCACACGCCTTCATACACCTCCCCGTACTGGCCCCCGCCCAGCTTGTGCTTCATGGTGATGTCCGTGCGCTCCATCTCCCACTTGTCGTAGTTGGGGGACACGCCATAGACGGTGGGCTTATTGCGCTTGGGGGCCGGGTAATGGAGAGTGGTGATGAGGCCGTCTGCCACAGTCGAGTGATGATGAACCAACTCAGCCAAAGTGTTGAAGCGGCTCTCTGAGGAGACGTAGAGCTGAGGGAAACAGGGACAGCCTTCAGTCCACAGAGCGCACACAAACCCAAACAACTCCAATAAACCAGCTCTGCTGAGCCTAAGTCAGCGCAGAGCAAAACCTCAGATAAATGGCTCTCCACACAGGGCGGAGTGTGCAGAAAATCACCTGTGTTGTATTTCTCTACACATGCTGTAATTTACTTGCTGAAGCAGAAAGATACAACAAAATGCCTCAGGGCCTTTGCATCTACTGCTCCCTCTGCCTGAAATCCTCCAGCCACCTAATCACCACATGCTTGGTTCTCTCTTACCAACCTGAGCCCTGTCGCTGCAGTCACCTGACCTGGTCATCACCCAGCACTAGTCATACCACCTCCCTTACTTCTCTCTGCATTGTACTTATCCTCCTTATTTACCTGATTATTTACAGTCAACACCTCCTAGAATGTCAGTTTCATGAGAGCAGAGCCCTAAGCTGTTTTACCCTGTGGATATCCTTTATCCTCCCCAATGTGGAGAATAAGAAATACACAGCACATAACAGGTACTCAATAAGCAGTTACTGATTAAATTAACGAAGAAAAGAATTTGGTACCTATTTGCTGATTGGAAAAGAAAGTAATTTTTTAAAAATAATTGCTTATTACCTAAAACCTCTAATTATTATTTATAATTATATAATTATCCAGAACTACACAGTAATCAGAGATGGAAATCACTAAACAAAACATAAATCTTCTCATTCTTACACCCTCAATTTGGGCTAAGTAGCATCAGAGGCCCAGACTTGCCGACCCCAGCTGGATGCCCCTGTGGGACGCCCCCGTCAGCACGCTCCAGGAATGGAGTGTGGGGGGTGGAGGACTGGAGGGCTGCACAAAGGCCGCATAGTGTCCTCTACGGTGGGGAAGTAAGGAGAGGGGCTTTCAGACACCAGCGCACACGAGCCTCTCTCTGAGATCTACAGTGGGCGCGAACCTACACGCAGAGCCCATCCACGTGTCATTCTCGTTGGATGCACCAGGAAAGGAAGAAGGGAAAGGAGGAAGCTGACAGGCTGACAGAAAGCAAGCGTGGATGGGGACAGCTATCTTGTTTGGTTCATTTCAGTGGTGACGGAATGCTTCCTTTGCAAAAAACAGTTCCACATTAAAATCCACACAGGACATCTAGGCTCCAGGCAGACAGTAGGTAACTGAACCTACTAGCTCATGAAGGGCACCCAGCGATTGCAGAAGGTGGGGAAGACCTTAAAAATCACGGCTTGCCCTGACTACTGAGATAAAGGAGGTATGTGCGTTGGAACGGCGGTGACGCGTGGGGCAGGAGGGAGAAAAAGGGTCAGTGGTGCTACAGCTGTAACTATAGTATCTCCATCACTTAAAAACAGAGACAGGAAGAAAAGGTCTGAAACACACAGCAGAGCTAGTTACGGGAAGGCTCCATCACTTCCTGTATGTTGGTAATACTAATCAAAATAATTTAAAAGAAGAAAATATCAACAAATACATGAGTTGATCCCATTTATAACCCTCAAGAAGGTAAACAGAATTCCTTCTTTCTTTTTGAATTTTTTGCTTGGGGAGATAATGTAAACAGATCTTTAAAACTCAGGCAAGACAATGGCAAACTTTGACTTAGAGGTTTGTAATTTACAATCTTTTTTCTTTTAAAGATTTATTACTTATTTAAGAGACAGAGAGCGCACGTGTGTGCACACAAGCAGGGGGAGAGGGAGAAGCAGGACCCTGGGATCATGACCTGAGCCAAAGGCAAACGCTTAACCAACTGAGCCACCCAGGCGCCCCTGTAATTTACAATCTTCTGGTTGCAATCCTACTAAAAAAGAATTCTGAGCAACCCAAGAATTGTCCAGAAAGACCCCACAGCTCTGGGGGAACTTGTCCCTCTGTTAGATGGTGCCCCTCAGGGGCAGGACCTTTCGAAGGGAGGAGAGGGCCCACTGGGAGGCCCCACTTACACCTCGGAGCACCGAGGAGGACCTCAGTCTAAGTGAACTGCTCTAGGGACGCATGAGTCACGCTTATGGCCCAGAGTGAGCGCACAAAGGTGCTGGGGGAAGGCGGGGAGCAGAAGTCAGCACCGCTGAGTCTGCGCTTAGCCCAAGGTCCGCACACTGATGTACAAGCACTCTTGTCAGTGGGCATTGCGGACACGAGTGCAGTTCACAGAGAAGACCGAGTGGGATGTGGGGACAGCCCCTACTCCCACCCCTCTCTGGAAAAGTCTGGCGTCGTCCAGTTACTTCACTGCGGGTGCCAAGTGTTCCAAGCCCTCTTCTTTGGGGGAAGCTCAGCTGCCGGTGTTTTCGCTACCATGGAGTGGAGAGAAGAAAGAAGAGCCTCTCCAAGAAGGCATTCCCTGGAATGAGAGCGTCCCTCCCACCTCGGACATCACTGGCACAGTGCGGGGGAAGGAGCCCAGCTCACTTGCTGGGCTCCTGGGGCTGGTCACCGGCGAGCAAGGTTCATTACCTACTTCTCCCCGTCAGCTTGAAAGGAATGCTCTCCAATCCTAGGATCAGAATGCTAATGGCTTCCCCAAGCCCAAGTTTATGCAGAATTTGTTCTTGGTCTCATCTGATTCCCTCACAGGCTCTCCTGTGAAGAGATTTCAGAGCTGTGGGAGGTTTCACTGAACGGACCTACTTTATCCTTCTCAATAATTAAATTTACAGACCCTGTGACTTAGCTCATCTTTCAACATAAAATTTACATCCCAACACTTATTAAATATTAAAACTACTCTCCGTTCTCAAGACACCGCACAGTCACCTTCTAACAGTCAAGTCTGCTGGTTTCCTTCTGATTAGTTCTGGGTTTTGAGCATTTTGCTAGTGAACTGGGTAATCTGCATCAGGAATTCCTGGCATGTTCCGAGAAGAAAGTGAAATAAGCATTATGAATGGCATGTCATTATGCTATGCACCTGGTTACATAAACACTCTGGGTGCTCAGCCAGGACTGGGCCTCCTCCTGACCATGCAGGAACCCCAAGACAGCACTTGTCACACTCACCAGAAACAGCTTTCCTCCTGACAGCCAGGCTTACGGGCTTATCAGCGCTCAGTCCGGTGCCTTCTTCAGCTGCCTCAGCCCCCGGAGTCCCACCCTGGATGTACTACTACCGGTTACAGGCTGCTGGGCCAGGAAGCAACATTACCCTGAGAGGGCCCCACATTCCAGCAGCAGGGCAAGACTTAATAATTAAGCAGTACTTAATAATGCTCGAGGTCTCCTCCACAAGGGAAGGTCAGCCACGCTTTAGCAGGCTTTTCATTGGGATGCCTGCACCTGCCAAGCCACTGTCAGGGTGGGTAAATCTTAAATATTCAAGAGGTTATACAGTTGGCCTATCCTGCCATCTCTGCTAAAGCTTAAGCCCAAATTCCATTCCTGTCACCCTGAACTTGTCACTTCAGCAGACCGTGAAAATAAGTATCACCTGGGAACCTCTTTGAAGAAAAGGAAAGACTCTAGCAAGGGCCATAAGGAATCGTGGAACTTGACAGTGGCATCCCACGAAAGTAAATAAAGTGTAGACACAAATAACCAGAAGAGCTAAATATGATTCAGGCAGTGGGTGGTTGAGAAAAATCAGCCCTGAATTCCACCACACTGGCAGAAGATTGTGACCTTGGAGAAAGCACTGAGACGACAATCAGATCCCAGGGGATGTGGGGGTTTTCAGGACTATCGAGACTCCCTGGAGCAGTGATGGCTCAGTTTGGCAGGGCCCTTGTAAGAGTCCGGCTCGAAGCTCCCCGAGCCCTGGGCTGACTGACCAGCCACAACGGCTGCTGAAGCTCAGAAACATGACAACAGAGGTAAACCAGGGCCAAGAGGGTGGAGGCAGAAAGAAATCTTTCGGGCCCTTGGAGAAGAATCTTTTAAATTCAGTTGTTTTCTGAAGATTAGCTATTTGAAAATAGGCATTAAGCTTATGCAACCCCAGCCTGTCCCTCCTACCAACCTTAGATTTTCCCTTTAGAAATCCAAAAAGGATTGCATCAAAGCTCTGCTATGTGAGCTTTTTTCAGGGCCGAGCCACACTGTCTCATGCATTGCTGTAATACCTCCCCCAATACCTCTGATACTGTTCCACTCATTCCAGGAATATGATCCCACCCAACACAGCCCCCTCAAGTGCAGCTCACAGAGAGGCGCCTCTGCAGATGGCCGGAACTGATAACCCCGTGGGCTGAGACGTCTCCAGGTGCTTGGACAGCTGAAGGGAGAGTCTTTGGCAGGGAGGGAGGGAGGGAGGGAAGAAGGCAGGAGGCCTAGGACACTTGGATGAGTTGTCCAGTGGTGGATACTGCCTGATCAAATGAGTTCCTTGTGCTCCCCTGGCACATACCAGCTTTTAAACAGAGGGGTTGACGTCCTCATCGGACAACTCTCAAATTCTGTGAATCATGCATCCCACACGCAGGCCTTGCTCTCTCCCTCTGAACAGCATTTTGGACCAACCCCTGGCTAATGAGTTGTCAAACTAGATCATGCCTGCCTGAATCTGTTCCTAGGATGCTGGTTAAACAACTCCAAGGAAAAGAAACCATTACCCTGTTCAGTACAAACCTCAACTGATTACTGCGGTGCGGCACGAATCGCCTTGGATAAACAGCACAGATGGGAAGCAAGCTGTCAGCTCCAGGAAATCACCTCCCTCGCGGGCGGTGTGCTCTGGTGTTCTAATTCACGAGACAGGAACCCTTGCGGGCTGAAGGCAAGGTTTCAAAGGGCCCCCCACCCCGGAGTACATCCTGCAGAATGGAACGACCTAGCTCCACATCTGCGATAAGAACGAGGACCCGAAAGGCAAGCTGATAAGGCTGATTTCTAGTCACACATCAGCAAGAGGCCATGCTGGGTACAAAGACCTCTGCCACCACGGAAAGGACCAGATACTAGCAATAAGGACTCTGGCCAGAAGACTTTGAGACATGCGGAAAAAACAAGAGAACATTAAAAAGAGAAATACATGTGCATTTGTGTGGTACGAATGAATGTTTGAGGATAGCCGTAAAAATGCTAAGAGGACTAGGAGGAGGGACTAGCCCCACCACACATTAAAACACATTATACAGCCCTAACAATTAAAGGTCTGATGTCGGAAGAGAACAGAGAGTGGATAAACAGATCCATATGCATATGTAAATTTGGTATGTTTACAATATGCAGGAAAATATAAATTTAGTAAATGGACGGGGATCCCTCAAAACATGACACATGTACATCACACACAACGAGAGACCATCTCTACACATCAGTGACAGATGTCTTCACAAGCCTGACAGAGCACCGTTGAGGTGCAGGGAAGATGCACTCCTGTCCATTTCTCACCAGCAACGGGGTGAGTAAACACATCTGCAAACTTCCATCGTGTTTAATGTTAACACAACGGAAATTTGTACATACGATGTACATATGTACATGTGTCTATGAAATATTTAAAAAAATGAAACAGAACAGAATGGAATACAAAAATATCAGAGCGCATTACATATACTGAGGGTAAGTAGGGCTTCCAGAACCTTTTGTTGCTAGTGTGAGTACTAGGCACTGAGATAAATGCTTTTATACAGTGTGCCAAGATTATTTTTTTTAATGGTTTGAAAGCTACCTCAGAGCAGCGTTATTTGTAACAGCCAAAGATTGGAAACAACGTAAAAGTCGACCTGCAGGGGACTGCTGAAATAAATGACAGTCCATCCACACGAGGCAGTCATTAATAAGAATGAGGGAGCTCTAAATGTGTTACCATAAAGCAATCTTCAAAAAATATTATTAGGTGGGAAAAGCAAGATGCAGAACACTGGGCAGTCTGCATCATTTGCGTTTTTTAAAAAATATATAAGCGTAGGGATGCCTGGGTGGCTCAATCAGTTAAGCATCTGCCTTAAGCTCAGGTTGTGATCCCAGGGTCATGGGATCGAGTCCTGCATCGGGCTCCTTGCTCAGTGAGGAGCCTACTTCTCCCTCTGCCTGCCGCTCCCCCTGCTTGTGCTCGCTTTCTCTCTTACAAGTAAATAAAACCTTTAAAAAAAAAATATATATATATATATATAAAAGCATATTCATATACTGGGGAACTCTGAAAGAAACTGGTCACAGGGGTTGCCTCTGGGCAGGGGAGTGGAATTAGGAGACAGAATTCTCACTGTAATCTATTTTGTTCTTCCTTTTTTTAAACAATATGCACACATTACATATTAAGAAATACATCCACCATCTAGACCCTGCCCAATAATCTACCCATCTCCACCCTGGATGATGGCATGGTATAGCAGGGTGGACAGCGGGGCCCAAGCCTAGCTCCATCAATCACACACTAGGTGATCCTGGGCAAGAAACCTCCTCCAAGTCCCCAACTCCTTAATGCAAAAATGCAGATCACAGCGACCTCTGCCCTGAGGACCAAAGTGAGGTGTAAATGAGAGGATGCCTGAAAAATGTGCCAGCCACCAGGAGGAACCTGGAAAATGTTAATCCCTCCCTTCCCTCCATGGACTCTTGAGCATTGTTCATATAAAGATCACAAAACTGTATATATCAACTGTTTTACAAAACTACAGTTTGGGTTTGGAAATCTACTGGGACAATGTGATCTCATTTGTTTAAAAACTGTGTGTCTATATGTATGTAAACGCGCGCGCGCGCACACACACACACACACACACACACAGATGTGGCTTTATTTATGGGAAGAACACCATGTACCAGACTTATTTTGGGGAAGTGATATTAAGGTGGTCTTTTACTTTAAAAATATCCACTATTGCAGTTTTACTCATTGAAAATGAATTACTATCACAGTAAGAGATTTTTTACAAACGAAGAATCTTAATATAAGAAGTATGTCCAATACCTAGGAGGTATTCACTTCATCTTATGAAATAGCTAACAACAAAACTCCAGCAGGACAGGTGGAGAGCCACACCAGGCCCCTGGACTTGAAACATCACGTGATCGGTCCTCAACAGAATGTCTTTCCTAGGCTAATGGAGTGATGCCTGCTGTTTACTTGAAGATGTTTCCTTCAAAAGCATCTTCCCGAGACATTGGGGAGGGTATGTGCTATGGTGAGCACTGTGAATTGTGTAAGACTGTTGAATCACAGACCGGTACCTCTGAAACAAATAATACATTAGATGTTAAAAAGAAGAAGAAGAAGAAGAAGAAGATAGCAGGAGGGGAAGAATGAAGGGGGGGGAATCGGAGGGGGAGACAAACCATGAGACTATGGACTCTGAAAAAGAAACTTAAGGTTCTAGAGTGCAGGGGGTAGGGGGATGGGTTAGCCTGGTGATGGGTATTAAAGAGGGCACGTTCTGCATGGAGCACTGGGTGTTATACGCAAACAGTGAATCATGGAACACTACATCAAAAACTAACGATGTAATGTATGGTGATTAACATAATAATAAGAAAAACAAAACAAAACAAAAGCATCTTCCCGGTTGAGATTTGTCATGATAAACTTCTTAACCCCAGCAGCAGGAGCTCTGGTCCTCCTGGCCAAAGGCTACCACCCCCAGCCCATCAGCCCCCCCGACTAGGACCCCTTACCTTGCCATCGGAAGCAGTGTTGATCCTGTAGTGGTACACCCTCCCTTCGTATCTCAGTGAGATGGACCTCTGGCCAGGACTGCTCTCGCTCTCCCGGACCAAGAAGCTGCCGTTGATCCCACTGCTCAGCAGGTATTCGGCCGCGTTGCGGGACACAGGCCCGTGATACCAGGAATGTTTCTCCAGACTGTTGACTGGCGTGATGTAGTTGCTTGGGACCCACCCTTGGCCATTTTTGGTTTGGGCTTCACACCATTCCCCATTGTGATTGTAGCCTAAAACCCGGAGCTTCTCACCTTAGAAGAGGAGAATCAAATCAGACATCAGCTTTAAAGGCTGGCTTCGTTCATTCCCATTTATTCTTATAGGATTACTAAAAATCTCCAAATTCGTAAATACCTAGTTCCCTTTAACAAATCCACATAAATATATGCATTTATAAGTGTATATAAGAAGAGTACACATTTATATATGAAGCTTCCTGTTTGTACTGAATATAAGAGAAATACAGAGCTTCAGTGTTTCATAAATCTATTATGTTTATTCAAGTGTTCTGTTCCTAACATAATGAAGTTTCTTAGGGAAAAAATACTTTTTCTTTAAAAAAAAAAAAAAAGGCATTTTCAGTGTTTGGTCCAGGTGTTCTTTTCACTATGATGCTGTTCTTCTGAAGGACTACTGTATAGGAACTCTTCTCCTTAAGGAAAAGTAGCTCTCTTATAAAGATGCTGAATGTTTTTGTTTTTGTTTTTTTGGATGTCTCTGCATTCCAAACTTTAAAGCTGCTCTTTCACTAGGCAAAGGGGTAGCCAGTCAAGCCACAGTTTCCCCTGATTTCTGTCTCTTGCAAGCACCAGCAGCGGTCCACAGCCCTTTTACCTTTAGTTATACTTAGGGTGTTGTCCCCACTGGCCACAAAATCATACAGTGCAACGAAAAGGTTGGGGTCATTTTCACTGGGGCCAGCGAGAAGGTTTTCCTTGGAGTTCCAACGAGCTGCTTCGCTGAGACCTTGGGGCTCAAAGTCAGATGCTACTGGCCTCTGAAGGGCTTCTGGAAGACAAAGGGGAAACAGAAGAAACAGGAAGAATTGGGGAAAATTAGTTTTATTCTCAGCAGCAAAAAAAAAAGTCTGTTTTCATCATTATATATTTCTAATTTATTTCATTTCTCAACATCTACATGTGATAATAAGAAATGCGGTAAAATAAAAATGGACTCTTCCTTTCCCAAGTGTTGTGAAAAATATTAAGTATTTTCATTCCAAGGTGGCAATCGCTGTTCCCAAATAGTTTCCGCTTTTTAAATTCATTAATTCAAAATGAACTCAATTAAAAAGCTGAACTCAGTTTCAGCTTTTTAAATTCATTAATTCAAAATGAACTCAGTTAAAACTGGAAATGGTCCGTCCTCATATGTCTTTGCAATTGCTTACATATAACAGAGAACAAAAGTTTCTTTAAAACGTTTAAAAAACATGTCAAAGTTAATATGGGCACATAATATAAAAATCAAGTAAGACAGAAGGGCTTAGAATGAAGGACGAACACCTTCTACCCTACCCTCCTCTATACCCAGAGGCAACAGCTGTGCTTTGGGTGACCCCTCCATCTCTGGGTTGCTTTACCCCGGCGCCTCTGCCCCCACGGCTCCCGTACCAGCCTCTACCAGTTACCTTTGCATTTTCACTAACAGACTTGCACAGACTTTACTTCTTGTTCTCCAGCTATAGACAGTGTCTCTCAGCTATTTACTTCCCAAGATAAGAATATTATCATCCTACCCTTCCTTCCAGCTCTCGCCCCACTCTCAAGTATGGCCTTCTTTACATGTCTTTTACTTTGTGAAAACTAGTAAGTTTCTTCCACTCTGTAATAAAGTCCTTCATGTTTCGTATATAGGTAGACTGTAAAAGCTGAACACCAATCAACATTTCTTATATTAAGAACATGGGGCCACTATTCACTAAAGGGTCAAATAGTTCATTATTTTTTCCTGAAGTTTCTTCCTTTTTTTCTTGAACTATGTGCTCAGCCTCACTAGAATTTCTGTGATATACATGTGAGGTTTTTTTTAGCCAGCAAATGTACTCCAAGGAGGTCTTTTTTTTTCAAGATTTTATTTATTTGAGACAGAGAGAGCACGAGCGAGCATGCACGAGCGGAGGGAGGAACAGAGGGAGAGGGACAAGCAGACTCCATGATGAGCACGGAGCCTGATGTGGGGGTTTGATCCCACAACCCTGAGATCATGACCTGAGCCAAAATCAAGAGCGGGCCACTCAACCCAATGAGCCACCCAGGAGCCCTGAGACAGAGCCTTAGAAAGTAATAAGCAGGTCTTAATAGTCATAGGATATTATGGACTGAAATTTGAATACTCATTTAAGGAAACTACAATAAGAAATCCAACTTTAAAGGGGAAAATTCTAATTTTCCCAAATGGTAAGAAAATTATTTAGGGGCACCTGGGTGACTCAGTTGGCTGAGTGTCCGACTTGGTTTCAGCTCAGGTCATGATCTCAGGGTTGTGGGATCAAGCCCCACATCAGGCTCTGTACCCAGCAGGGAGTCTGCTTGAGATTCTCTCTCTCCCTCTCCTGTTGCCCCTCCCCCAGCTGCACTCAATCTCTCTAAAATAAATAAGTCTTAAAAAAAATAAAAATTTTAAAAATTATTTAAATTTTCCCTCTTTATGGATTTAGAGAGAACCCCTAAGCATCTTTTCTTGGGCAATAACACCCATCTCAGGGATGGGCCTGATTCTGCAGTAATCACTTCCCAAAAAAAAACCAAACAAAATCAACCACTGGAGACACCTAAGACATCTGAGGAATAAGGCTAACCTTCCAGAAACACAACCGGAGAACTTTCAGAAATTGGCATTCTTTAAAATATCTCTTTGGAATAAGCTGATACAACATAAGTAACGAGGGTCCTTTCATTTTTTTAAAGATTTTATTTATTTATTTGAGATAGAGTGAGCTAGAAAGAGAGAGAGAGAGAGAGAGAGAGAACATGAGCGGGGGTGGGGTGAGGGGGGAGCAGCAGAGGGAGAGGGAGCAGCAGGCTCTCCACTGAGCAGGGAGACCAACGCAGGGCTCAATCCCAGGACTGTGTGATCATGACCTGAGCCAAAGGCAGTTGCTTAACCAACTGAGCCACCCAGGCATCCTAACAAGGGTCTGTCAATTCTAGCTTTTATACTACTGACTGAAGTAAACCTTCAGGAATTGTTTTTGCTAAAAGAGTAAATCCCAAATTATGTCATTACTATGTTTGGTAATCTCATTGTATGAATCATAAGGGCAAAGAGAAATTAAGAGGGTAACACTGCCACTTCCTAGAGTGTAGAAAAGCCTTAGTGATGGGTTAAGCCCTGTTCTTGAATATTTTACATGGGCTCTAAAAGCACGCCTAGCACCATCGTGATCAGGGATTGATCAATTAACCAAATAAAGCCGGTTAAGGCAAAGAATTATTTTTTTATTAAAATGTTTGATCTACCACCCCCACCTGAATGTGTGTTGGTTTGCTGGCCTTGACTGCAGGGACAAGGCCTGCCCTTTCGAGGGTGGGTATGTGGTGACAGTCAGAGCTTGTCCCCATCATCTGGCTTTCAGCTTCGGTTTCCTGCAGGGGGAGAGGACTTGGATTTATATCTCCGTGACCCCAGCATGGTCCCTTCCAACGCTTACAGCTGGCTCATCCACACCTGGTCCGGCAGCAATGTTTAAAATCACCTGCCTTTACTGAGTCTGTCTAAGGCATCCATCTGAATAGCATAGAAACAAATCTCTTTTTACACCTGCATTTCACTGGTTTCATATTAACCACGTAAATAAAACAACAAGTGTATCTGAAGATCTGGAAAAAAATATAACTGGCTTGGAGAGGGGGGTGGGGGCGGTGGGTTAGCCCGGTGATAGGTATTAAGGAGGGCACGTATTGCATGGAGCACTGGGTGTTATACGAAAACAATGAATCATGGAACACCACATCAAAAACTAATGATGTACTGTATGGTGACTAACGTAACATAATAAAATTAAATTAAATTAAAAAAAAAAAAGAAATGTAACTGGCTCTTGGTGTGGCTGGGCAGTAAGTGGCAGAGGACTGCAGTGGGCCCTGGGCACTAGGGAGGCAGCTTTTACAGGAAGTGGAGCATGCTGGTCAACCTAGTAAGTTGGTTAAGTGGAAGCAGTCAAAAGACTTCTATTGTCGTTATATTAAGTAACACCATTAGCCTGAGGATTCTCAACATAAAAGAACTCTTGCATATCAACAGAAAAAGATAAATCCCTCCACTATGGAAAAATGAACCAAAACCATGAATAAGCAATTCACAGAAAATTTAAATTACCATTAAACTTGGAAAGCATGTTAGACCTGGCTAGTAATCAAAGAAATGCAAATTCTTCATCAAATTGGCAGGTACATTTTCTTGAGGCTAAGTCAGTGTAAGACTTCAATGAAATATAACTCTCATACAACGCCAGTGGTTGCTGCAGAAATTGCCATAACACTTTAGGAAAGCAATGGGAAATACAAACCGAATCTCTAAATAATTCCATAACCTTTGATCCACCTCTAGGAATTATCCTGAGATCCACACAATTATTTCTATACACTGATTTTTAAATAGCAGCACAGAAAAAGTACAAAATATCTATCAACAGAAGGTAAGTTAGCTTGTGGTCCATCTGTAATACAGAATATATCCATAAAGCCATTCAAAATATTTTTAGAAAAACAACTATTGGCTTGGGAACATACACATAATAACGCATTAAGTGCTCATATTACAACCTGTTATATACAGCATGATCCCAATTTTATAAAAACTGAAAAAAGTACAGAAGGAACCACACCAAAATGTGAACAGTAGTTATTAACCCAGGGTGGTGCGTTAACAGTGCCATTAAGAGTAGTTCAAGCGGGGTGGTGGGATTACAAACATTTAAAATTTCCTTTATTCTCCTCTATATTATGGCCTATTTCTCACAATGAATGGGGGGATTGTTTTTGTAATTCAGAAAACAATGACAAAAATAGAGAAACTGCCATCATAAATAAGAGCCAGCTGACACTTCCCTTGATAATCTAACCTGAAAAAGAACCCTGGGGGAGGAGGAATCTCCTCGAGCTGTCCTGAAAAAACATTTGCGCGCTTCCCTCTGGAGTCCTGACCTCCCGGCCATGAGCACACAACTCTGGCAGACCCGGCCCACACAGGAAATTAAACCAAAGTCATGAATACAGAAATGCTTTTCTTCTCCAGTGCCATTTGACCTCTTCTATCAAGCATTCTGCAGCATCTGGATTGGATCAAAGTTACATAATCAGGGGAAGTGGCCTGGAAAACACCTGGACTAGGCAGAAGGCCGATACTCACCCAGGGGTGCCTGTGGATTTGCAGTCTGGAATGAGGAGGGACTGTCCCTAACATGGAGACCACTGCTGGGAATTTCATGAGAGGGGATGAGCCCTTTACCAGGAAGGAAAGGGCCTCCCACTGCTTTTTGATTCAACAGGACGTCAGGAAATCCAAGGCAGTCTCCGATTTTCCTCTCCAGTTCTTGCTCCATTCCACAAATTAATGGCCAAAGCCCAAAGGGAAGTATTGCTCATGCATGCCTCTGGATCGAGAGGCTGAAGTGTAGCCACAGCCCAACACCAAAACCTTCCAGTCAAGTCCCAGTCCAGGCTGATGTCAAAATTGACTCACAATGTATAAATGCCAAGTTCTTTCTTCGTTTCATAGTGAACTATGCTCGTCAACCTTAAAAATGATCACAGCTTACAAGGCCAATACTGCAGAATGTTCTTCAGCCTTCCCAGCTTCATGTAGGGACTTTCTGCCAGGCCTCAGATCAGGAAGTAGGACCCCTGAAGAAGCCCCGAGGCTTCATTCAAAAGAGATGCTCCAAAAGAGCTCCCCTCTTCTGTTCTTCCAGTGGATCTTTTGGCTATGGTTAAGTCTTGGGAAAGAAATTTCAGCATCTCCTATTATTCTTACTTTTTTTAGTGAACATTTTCTGCCGCATCCTT